CATGTATATATATATATATATATATATATATATAAAATCATATATGTTTCATTAAATAATATAGATGAGTGTTGTCTATATTATGTAAATTCTTTTCATAACGTTATGAAAATAATTTACATAAAATAAATAGGCAACACTTGTCTATATTATTTAATGAAACATGTATAAATGAAAAAATGCTGCCTAAATACACACAATATATATATATATATATATATATATATATAATGAAATTATTCATACACCCATCAATTTTGAATATTTTTATCTATTTCTCATAATCTAATGCCTGTCTGATGCCAGGCTTTTTATATATTAATAATCACAAAAAAATGGGAATATAAAAGTCAATTTTATTTTATTTTGCCTGTCAAATTTGTTGTATTTAAACCTATTGTTCTGAAAATTGACGTTTATACTCGTTTTTTGTACTTATTAACTCTCTCTCTCTTTTGCTCTCTCACTCTCTCTTTCTCTGTCTGTCTCTTTCTCTATATTCTCTTTATAAAACTTCCTCTTTCTCTATATCTCTTTCTATCTAAAATATCTCTCTCTCTCTCACTTGCTCTGTATGTATATATATACAAGGTGCGATGGATAAATTTTATATTTTTAATTTTGTGCATGTGCATTGTTTATTTTTTATTTTGTTGACCACACAGTATAGTAGGGTCAGTTGGGCACCACCGTCTACAAGAAAAAAAGCATCATGATGCAATTCACTCTGCTAGAAATTTGGAAATGCCATACAGTACTGCTTGACATTTGTGCTGGAAGCTCCAATACAAACATTTCATAGTGCTTGGACATTGCAGAAGATTTGGAAAGAGTTGGATGAGTAATGGTGATTATGAAGGTATGGCAGATTGGAAAACTCACACTGATCATTCTGATAAGGAAAGAACTCCCGAATTTGTTAGTGAGGGCCTCAGACCCATGACAGAGGCCTACATCAAGTACCTTGAGGAAGTAGTGCTGCCCTGGGTCAAGAAAGTAGCTGCAGAAGTCTGGCAAATGGACTCTGCACCAAGCAACACAAGCAGGAGAACCCAGTCATGGCTATCAGACAATTTCTGCGACCACATCACCCCTTACATCTGGCCACCTAACTCCCTAGACCGCAATCCCCTTGATTATTATGTGTGGGGTGCAGTTACAAACCAGACTCGATATAGCACCAGCTCTTCTCAGATTTCATCATGTGACATCTGTGTCTACCAACGGACTGTGTCCTCAAGCTGCTCCATCCGGAGCATTAGAAGCCAGTTCAAGCAATGATATATATATATGTAGAAATTAAGGGGGATTTGAATAATCATAATTAATTCATCAAGTCTAGAAGAATCCTCTCCAATCACCAAGACCTGTTGGCCCAGTGGGTATGACAGTTGCGTCATATCGTAACGGTCAGGGTTCAATTCACTGTAGTGGACGATTAAACTGCTAATGAATCCCAAAATAGAACAACGCAAATATTCTGTTGAGGATTCTTCTGGGATCGATGAATTAATTATGATATATATATATATATATATATATATATATATATATATATATATATATAAGACATCCTTTATAATGGCTAAAACGAATAGCTGAAAGCACTCAAACAAACAAAACATTCAGACAATTTTTAAACACCTTATATCCACAAAAGAAATACTTACAGGAAAACAAGAAAAATTAAATAAAAAGCTATGAAGATATGATATGTCTGAAACAGATATATATGAATAGACTGAGATAGATAGATAGATAGATAGATAGATAGATAGATAGATAGATAGATAGATAGATAGATAAATAAGAATATAATGAGATAGATATGAACAGACTTTGACACATAGATAGCAAGATATGTCAATTGTTGATTATTGGGTGATAAAATAATTTTTAAAAGTTTAATCAATATATTTTTGTAAAATGCAGGAAGTTTTAGGTTCATAGCCAAGTTGATTAGAGTTTTATTATCGTATTGTCTTTCTTTAATTATCAAAAATCTTAAGACTTTTCTTCTTGAATTTCTGAAACAAGGAACAGTTATTCCTGCTAACTTGTCTCTTTATTCACTTTACCACATTTCATCCACTGCACTTTTTAATTTTCTTTGTATATAAATTTCCACAAAAAAAATATTTTTATTATTATACATCGACTCTTTTGAATCAGGTGCCTTTTTCGTCTTTATCACAATGTTACCACCTCTAATCTTTTATGGATCTCACCTGGAACAGGAGTTAATTATTAGCCAATGAGGGATTAATAAAGCATGGTTAACACTACCTGCCACCCCTGTGCTCCAAATGGAGCTATGCTTCTCCTCATTTTAGATGGAAGAAGTCACTCAGCTCCAGGGATTTCAACCCTGTGGCAGCACCTTCCTCATCACACTAAAGAGGTTGGGTCGGTGTAACATTAATGCCAGCATGGCAGTGGTTGAGCAAGGAGGCTGGACAAAAATCAGTTCTTGTCCTTGGCCCATATGCATAAATATGCATTGTGCTCCCCACATTAAAACGACCTTGTGCCACATCCACTCTTGGCCAAGTAAATATACCTGAGCTGTTATAGGTCAACTAAAGATTTAACATTTCTCAAAAAGCATCCAAATTGGGTCTTCTTCTATATATCATGTTCCTTCAGGACATGGGAAATCATGGCTCTTCACAACTTCCTATACATTTTAGCTCTTAGAAATATCAACCGTCTGACTATTCCCTGTTCTGCTATTAATTTACACAAGCTCATTAGGCAGGTTACTCACTGTTTCCCTCCGTCCTTCTTGCCTTCAATAGGTCCTATGAGTGTCGAATTTTCCAAGTCTTCTTTCCTCATTATCTCTCCCAAAAATTTCAGCTGTCTTTCTATGAGCCTAAGTCTGAGAGTCCTTTTTGTTTCCAGTTCCCTTAAAACTTCCCCATTGCTCACATGCTCTGTCCACAGTATTCTCAGCATCCTTTTTGGGAACCATATCTCTGTTGCCTCAACCGTATTCTTTGTCTCTGAAGAAAATGTCCAGCATTAACTGCCATATAAGAAAGATATTTATTACATAGCACTTTATCACTCTTTTCTTTGTTTCTAATAACATTTTTCTGTTTCTTCATACTTTGCTTAGCTTTTGGAGGGCATCTTTTGCTGTTCCAATGCACCACTGGATTTCAGTGTCACATTTTCTGTCATCTCCCCAGCTATTTAAACTTCTGTACGTCTTTGATTGTGACATTCCTAATTTGTAGCTCACATCTTCAGCTGGTTCTCTTGCTGACAAACATCTATTCTCTGTTTTTACAATTGATAGTTAGTCCTTTCTTCTCACTTTCCTTTACTATCTTGTCTATAACTCCACACCTAATAAATCTTTATACACCTCCAGGAGTGATACCTGAAATAGTTCAAATGGTATGACAGATACAAGGTTGGTGCATACTATCACTGATTTGGGTTCCTGGGCAATAATTTGTGACCTTCACTATCTTATCAACATTTGCATTTTTTCTACCTACATTTATATACATTAGTGTTATGGTCCAAGTTCCTTGTACCACGGTGATGGTCCAAGGTTAGAACCAATAAAAGAATAACACGAACACAGGTATGGAATACAAAGATATATTACATCAGAAATATAATACAAAGAAGTAGAAGTATTAGTAATGTCTATCAGATTTGGTTAGAGTGAACAATGTTGTCTTGACAAGTATCACTATTCCAATGTCCTTACAATATGCTCTCAATTATCTCTCCTCGTCTTACAACATCCTCATACCTCTTGAGAGGCGCAGTATTTATAATGTCAGGAATAGTCCATTATTATTATGGGTAAGTTCCCATAACAATTACAAATTAAACTAAGCACAACAGACTATTAAAAGATGAAAAATTTTTGTGGGTTTTGACATCATTCTGGGGTGGTATTTTTTTCATCCAAACCTATGAATTTGTTTCACTCATACTAAGTCTCAAAAAAAAAATTAAAAATTAAAATTCTTCAACTTTTTAACAAGAGAAATCTCAAGTTAATGTTAAAAATTCCTGCAAAACATTGTTGATGTATTTAAGATGGAATGATCTATTATGACATATCTTTAATATTTAAGCTTGTGGCTCCAGGAAGGTTTATAGTCTTGGAAATACAGATAACAGCTAAGTACTGAGTTTACATCATATAAAAGGCTGAATTAGATAGCTAGCTAATATTATAGTGTAATGACTCAACATACAATTCCATGTCCCTATCAGTTGAGTCAATTACATGATCTTCCAAGCTTACTTGAGCTTGGGTGCTGCCTTACATTCATCTTGGAAGACACACATATTTTTCAAGGTATTTTTTAGTGTGTCTTGTAAGCCATAAAATACAGTACATTTCATTGTATTTCCAATTTTTCTAGTTGAATTACTTCCCTGTAATGCATATTATTCATTATTGTACATAATTAGGCTACAATAGAATTTGTATTTTATATGAATACTACCTTATGAAAATGGAGATGGAGCAGAGTGAAGGGGTCTGCGTATCATAAATTTGGGGTGGTGGGGGAGATAAAAGACCCTTGTACCAGTCCCGGTGTTCCAGGTTTTTTCTATGCTTAGAAAACTCATTTAAACTAGTGAAGAATTATTTCAGATGGAAATTAGTTCTTTTGAAAAAAGCTTCCATTAGAAGATTCTAAGGACCATAATATAGAAGAGAGGTTATCATGAATTTTTGATTTGGTTCAGTTGAGATGTAGTAGAGTGGGAGGATGGGGGCTGTCTCATAGATTCAGGTGTGTGTGTGGGGGTGGGACACAAGGCCCTTGCACCAGCCCTGGTTAGATGATAATGCTGTGATAAAGACAATATTGATGAGGAATTTGATGTGAAAGAAACAATGTATTATATAAATGCTTTCCTTTCATTAAGACCTATTTGTGATTTATTTCGACAATGAAGAGAAATGGATAACAGGATCAAATATCTGATCCATTATTATTTTCCCTTATTTTGAAAAGGTTTTTGATATAAGCAAAGATTTGTTACCCTTGTATGAAGTGGTTGATCTTGCCTATTTGGAAATATTGGTCACCAAGGTGAGTTACAAAAACGTTTCCCTTTTTATCTTCCACCTATATTTTGATCTAAGAATGTACAATTATTGATTTGTAATGACCTCAGGAAGTACATTTATTTATTTGTAATGACCCCTGGATGTACATTTATTTATTGTAATGATCTCAGGATGTACATTTATTTATTGTAATGACCTCAGGAAGTATATTAATTTATTTGTAATGACCTCAGGATGTGCATTTATTTATTTATAATGACCTCAGAATGTACATTTATTTATTTGTAATGACCTCAGGATGTACAGTTATTTATTTGTAATAACCTCAGAATGTACATTTATTTATTTGTAATGACTTAAGGATGTACATTTATTTATTTGTAATGACTTAAGGATGTACGTTTATTTATTTGTAATGACCTCAGGAAGTACATTTATTTATTTGTAATAACCCCAGGGTGTACATTTATTTATTGTAATGATCTCAGAATGTACATTTATTTATTTGTAGTGACTTAAGGATGTACATTTATTTATTTGTAATGATCTCAGGATGTACATTTATTTGTAATGACCTCAGAATGTACATTAATTTATTAGTAATGACCCCAGGATGTACATTTATTTATTGTAATAACCTTAGAATGTACATTTATTTATTTGTAATGACCTCAGAATGTACAGTTATTTATTTGTAATCACCCCAGGATGTACATTTATTTATTTGTAATGACCTCAGGATGTACATTTATTTATTTGTAATGACCTCAGGATGTACATTTATTTATTTGTAATAACCTCAGGATGTACAAGTAATGTATCAGTTATTCACATGGAAGATAGAAATGTATAGCCAAGTTGAAATTGCTGTCTACTCTGTTGCATTCACTTTCACGCAAAACCTTGTAGAATGCAGGAAGTCATCTATTCCTCCAAATTTATCTAATGGTACATATCTTATTGTGAAGAAAATGTTACCTCACTTATTGGTAGCTCTCATTAGAATTGGTCAAGGGTAAGGAGTGACTTTACTGATTCCAAGAATTTCATTGGTTCCATAGAAATCTGTGGTTGTATTAACTGTTGTTGAATTTGAAATAACATTGATTTGTACATAATTGACCAATAATGATATCAGTGAACAGAGATTTATTTATAATTATTTTTTAGGTGTTGTTTCAATAAAATAAAACATTTATTAATGGGAATATATTATTTAGTATATAGAGACTGAATATATAAACTAGCCATTTGTTTTTCATGTCTATATCTTTGATTTCTGCTATGCCAGGTCACTGAGTGCTACTGGTATCATATAACCCAGTATTACTTGCTGCATAGTTGTGTCAGCAGCAACTAAACCAGTTCCCCCCGACCAGGCCTTTCTAGTGAGGAGAGTGGTATTAAAATGAAGACTCTGTCTATATTTCTGAGATGAGGTATTATGTACACTATTTACATTATTCGGACTATTGTCCTCATCTTTGTCACCATATTTATCACAACGTTCCGCCCCTTCAGTATCTGTCTATATTTCTGAGATGAGGTATTATGTACACTATTTACATTATTCGGACTATTGTCCTCATCTTTATCGCCATATTTATCACAACGTTCCGCCCCTTCAGTATCTGTCTATATTTCTGAGATGAGGTATTATGTACATTATTTACATTATTCGGACTATTGTCCTCATCTTTGTCACCATATTTATCACAATGTTTCAGCCGTTGTATGCTCCAGCCTTCGCTCACTGGGGTGGACTGTTCTAGTTCTACGTGCCATGTTTAATGGATGTCAGTTATCAGTTATCTCCTGTTAATTCCCCTCTGAAAGTTCTCCACTGCCTTAACTGGGTATTGAACTCAAACTCTTTGGGTCCTGTCACTGGATCTAACCAACGCCTTTATCCACTGCGACATGTGTCCTTGAGGAGCACAGTGGATAAAGGAGATAACTGATAACTAACATCCATTAAACATGGCATGTGGAACTAGAACAGTCTACCCCAGTGAGCGAAATAAAGGGTTCAGTTCAACATTCCAACCACCTGAAGAAGGCCGAAGCATACAACAGCCGAAACGTTGTGATAAATATGGCAACAAAGATGAGGACAATAGTGCGAATAATGTAAATAATGTAAAATCAAGACCTGTCAAAGGGCAGTTGGACCTTTCTGTTGAGTCAATGGCTATTTTGCACAATGGGATAAACTGGGCTCCATCACTATATTTGCAGTCAGAGCAGTTATAATTCAGCATCACTGGGTGGAGGACTCCCTAGAATAAAGTCAATGGCCAGGGTAGAGGGTTGCCCTGATAGAATCAACAGCTGTGTGTCCCTGACCAAAGTGGGCCTATAAGCTGAAGGACATTGCCTATAGTTTATCCTGTTGAGGGATGGGCTTCAACAGGTTTACTTGTCCAAGATATGGCACACACAAATGAATACCTCTCCACTTTTCAACTCAGACTTATGGAGGAAACACATTGAAGGCAAGAGGGAGAGTGGAATATCATCGACCTAGCGACCTTGAGGAAATTGATAGAACAGTGTTTAGGAGAGATAACAAAAAGTCAAAATTTTCTAAGAGCTACAAAGGAGAGGAAATTGTGGAGAGCACCGAAGGGACACAGCACATAGACGAAGAAAGAAAAAAACCCTATTTTGATGACAGACATCAGGACATGCCACTAATTACCATACAGTGGGAAGCTATAGAGAAAACTTTCTGGTAATAGTAATAGAACCATTTCCCTTGTGATTTGTCATTCATTGACTGAGCAGCTAGTACTGCTTTCAGTTGAAGTTTATAAAATCTTTCTCTTAAAACACTTTTAGGAAAACAAGTTTCTCAAATCCAATAGCTGTTATAGCTCTTTTCAGTATTGATTGGGGTTTCCTTCCTAACCTTTTATTTGAAGTGGTGTGGAATGTCAACATCTTGATTATGTCATTTTTTTTTCTTCTGAGTTACATGTGCTATCCATTTTAGTTGTTACTGCTCTTGGAAGTCCTCAAATGATGTGGTTTCTGTTATTTGGTACAGTTCTTTGTAATTCTGTAGCGATGGTCCTCACTAAAACCGACAAGCTTCATTCGCTCAATGGTACTTTTATCATTAACCTGAAAAAGCTGTTAACATCTTAAGTCATTATTTTCTCTTATCTATTTTAGTTGTTGCTGCTGTTGGAAGTGTACACGTGATATCCAATTTAAATGATGCTGCTTTTCGAACTCCACAAGGGATGTGGTTTCTGTTATTTGGTACAGTTCTTTGTTTGCGATTCTGTTGCGCCAGACCCCAAGATTTGAAGAAGGGCTGATGTTAAAAGTCCTCAAGTGATGTGGTTTCTGTTATTTGGTACAATTCTTTGACTATGAATCTGTAGCGCCAGACCCCAAGATTTGAAGAAAGGCTGATGTTAAAAGTCCTCAAGTGATGTGGTTTCTGTTATTTGGTACAATTCTTTGACTATGATTCTGTAGCGCCAGACCCCAAGATTTGAAGAAAGGCTGATGTTAAAAGTCCTCAAGGGATGTGGTTTCTGTTATTTGGTACAGTTCTTTGACTATGATTCTGTAGCGCCAGACCCCAAGATTTGAAGAAAGGCTGATGTTAAAAGTCCTCAAGTGATGTGGTTTCTGTTATTTGGTACAGTTCTTTGTAATTCTGTAGCGATGGTCCTCACTAAAACCGACAAGCTTCATTCGCTCAATGGTACTTTTATCATTAACCTGAAAAAGCTGTTAAAATCTTAAGTCATTATTTTCTCTTTGAGTTACATGTGATATCCATTTTAGTCGTTGCTGCTCTTGGAAGTCCTCAAGTGATGTGGTTTCTGTTATTTGGTACAGTTCTTTGTGATTCTATAGCACAAGTCCACAATATTCAAAGAAGGGAATTCTTTGCCAAGACCCTCAAATAGCAAAATAGGGCTTATCACTAGTGAAACTAATTTTAGTTTGCCATTCTGATTTTGAAGCCTTTAAATACAGCATTTTTTGACTATGCCTTACTCAAAATTTGTAATCAACATACATTCATATCAATTTCTTTTTGTTCTTCATTTTATCTTTTTTCAGCATCTCTCATCATTTGGAAACCATTGGGACACGATGATGGCATTAACGTCTTTGGGTCTGTTAAATATATTGAAATAAATAGCTTTGGACCTGGATTTATTTGGCCAATGGTTTGGGAAACTTTGAGCTTTGGTTTTGGGTTGGTTTGGGTTTTGGGTTTTGGGTTGGTTTGCCAGGGTTGGGTTGGTTTGGGTTGGTTTGGTTTGGGTTGGTTTGGGTTGGGATGGTTTGGTTTGGTTTGTTGGGTTGGGTTGGGTTGGTTTGGTTTGGGTTGGGAAATCTTGGTTTGGGGTTGGTTTGGTTTGGGTTGGTGGTTTGGGTTGGGATGGTTTGGTTTGTTGGGTTGGGTTGGGGGGTTGGTTTGGGTTTTTGGGTTTGGTTTTGGTTTGGGTTGGTTTAAAATTGGGTTGGTTTTTCTTGGGTTGGGTTATCTTAAAATTGGGTTTGGTTTGTTGGGTTGGGTTGGGTTTGGTTTGGGTTGGGTTGGGTTGGGTTGGGTTGGGTTGGTTTGGGTTTGGGTTGGGTTGGGTTGGGTTGGTTTGGGTTGGGTTGGGTTGGTTTGGGTTGGTTTGGGTTGGTTTGGTTTGTTTGGTTGGTTTATATTGGTTTGGTTTATTTGGTTTGGGTTGGGTTGGTTTGGTTTGGGTTTTTGGGTTGGGTTGGGTTGGGTTGGGTTGTCTTGGTTTGGGTTAAAAAATTGGATTTTGGTTTGGGTTGGGTTGGGTTTTGGGTTTGGGTTGGTTTGGTTTGGGTTGGGTTGGTTTGGGTTGGGTTGTGGCTGATCTTCTGTCTTCTTTCTTTTTAATTTTGAAGGCTTATGGCCATATCATGTTGAAACACTAACTCTCATATGGTCACATCTGGTCAGCGAGGTGACCTCTTGAGAATACCAGGTGCTGTAAGCTTGGATGTGCAGATGGTGTAATGGATAATGGACTAGAATTGGAAGTCAGAGAACAGAGTTCCAATTCCAGTTGGGTTCATTATATTCACTTACGCACAAATACCATTGGGAAATGTATGAATCCATCTCTTCTCCCTCCAGCTATGGGTTAATTAGTGGGAATTGTATCAGTAACTAATTGTTAGCAACAAAACATTCTTATAATCTAGAAATATTTTCTGGCTTTAAATAATCAGTAAGAGGTTGATAAACTGTAAAAAACAAATCAGTTCAAGGATTTCAACATGAATTGATTGATTTGTTTTTTACAGTTTATCAACCTCTTGATTTTAAGTATATTTGATATTCTTGTATTATTTCAAACTATAGTGATCTCATCTTGGTTGATGTTATTATAGACACAGCATTTTGACCAATTACCCTTTAGATCAGGTGTCCATTGAATTGCTGATACGGGATATTCATCGATAATGTAATATCAGTTATTGTTCATTCCTGCTGAACTGATGTATCACTACCAAGGATTGAACTCATGACCACCAGATGATAGTAACACATGTATAATCAACTCCTATATCCAAAAGGATATTGATGATGCATTTCTAGAGCCTTATATGTGAAATGTCAGATGGTCTTAAAATTTGGTTACAATGGCAGGTTCATAATAAAGTAATACTGACCATTACTCATCTCAGAAATGAAATACTAAATACTAAAAGTGCATATTTGAGTCTTTAAATATTTACTTAGTTTGGGGATAAGTAAATATTTGTTAGTTACATTTGAGTCTATAAGCATTTACTTGGTTCAAGGATAGAAAAATATTGGTCACTTATATTTGAGGCTGTAAACATTTTCTTAGTTTAGGGATAGATAAATATTAATCATTTATATATGTGTTTGTAAGCATTTATTTGGTTCAGGAATAGGTAAATATTGGTCATTTATATTTGAGTCTATAAGCATTTATTTGGTTCAGGAATAGGTAAATATTGGTCATTTATATTTGAGCCTTGTAGTTTATTGTGGTTTAAATAAAGTGAACAAGAATAAAGAACTGTGTGAATTTGCCAATTCCTTCCACAGAAGTGAGCAAGAGGTGAAATAATATCTAAGCTGTAAAGTTTGATTCCTTTTACCAGTTCCTGGTCACACTTAAGATGGTTCTTTTCTCTTCTTCTACAATCCCTTCTTTTTTTTTTTAAATTCTGGCAAACATAAAGCTTGCTCCTGTCTAGCATTCAAAATCAATAATAATAATAATGTTGTTTTTGTTTTCGTTTTGTGGTTTTTGTTTGTTATTTTTTTCTGTTTTTTTTTTTGTTAAAACATGGATGCCTTTTTTATGGACATTTATTACCCACAATGCAATGGCCTGGTTTTTGTCTATAAAATCTCACCTCCACTCCTTTACTCTGAAGTTATTAAAGTAAGCTCTTCTATCCATTTATTCAAACCACAAGAGGATAGGTAAATATTGGCCATTTATATAAGAATCTAAAAAAGCATTTACTTGGATTTGTGGATAGTTAAATATTTCTTGATTTTGAATCTATAAAGCATACTTGTTTCGGTGATAGGTAGATATTGGTCATTTATATTTTAATCTAAAAAAGCATTTATATAATGTGATTTGGTTTGTGATTAGGTAAATATTCATCATTTATATTTGTGTGTGTAAGCATTTAGTAAGCCAGTATATTATAGTGCCCACTGAACTTGACATTAAAGATTTGAACTGATTTAGCTGCCAAAAATGGACTTTTTTTAAAAACATTTTTTTATTTATCTTTCAGATCATCTGACAAATTGCAACTAAGTGAATTAAAAGTCAGTGAAGTGAGTTTCCTGCTTTAATTATTAATTTTCTTCTGTCCAGTTTACTTTTTTATTATTAACTAAGGTGTAAAAAAAAATAATTGTTTTTAAAATAGGTACCTCCAAAAAAAAATTTAAAAAAGACACCTAACTTGTTTTAAAAAAATTAAAATGTTTCTTGAAGTTTTTTAGTTTGAATTTCAAGCTAGATTGAATTTAATATTTCCAATCAGCAAAAATACTATATTTCAAAAACTAATTTAAATTGACTGGAGTGATTTTTTTTTTTTTTTTTTTTTTGCTAAAATAGCTGATTAGCGCCTTTTCTTTTTTTTTGTTGTCTTTCATTACAGTGAATTTTTTTTTATTAAAAAAATCTTCAAAAAATAAAATATACTTTTCTGAAATTTTATTTGAGGAATATTAGCTGATTTAAACAAAGTGAGAATGATGTCTGAAAACTAGCTTCACTGAAAGCCAGGGCCTGGTTATCCTTGAGCCTAGTTTAATATAGGCTGCAACCTAGAGTCCTTCAACAATGATTTTAATTTTCTAGATGTTATAACTTCTAAATAGTTCCATAAACATTGTAGCGAGGTGCAAAATGGACGATAGGTCAGCAATAAAAATATGAAGGATTGTCAATCAGATGTAGCAGACCCCACGACATTTATTTAACTTTGATTAGGAATGACGTGGAAAAGGACAAGCAATGATGCTGGAGGTCACCATCAAATGTGGGGGTCACAATGCAATTTATATTTGACGTAAAATATCACATAGCAAAAACACAAGACAGAACGTAATGGTTCAAAACATAACATTTGAATTTATTTGTTTTGATGTACATGCATATAAGCTAAAGGTTTGATAGAGTTACGTCTCTTAGATTTGGGAAATATTTGTACCAGAGCTCACAAAGTTGAATTGATTATTAAACTGTAGTTTTAGAAGAATAAAATTCTTGTTGCATGTTAGGAAATGTGAGTTGGAAAAGTTGGTAGAGTTCAGAAGAGTTAAGAGTTCATACTTGCATGAATGTTGGTAATGTTCTTTAACGTCTGACCACAAGGTCAAGACCAGAGTTCTTGAAGGTCAAATTTTGGCAGCAAGGAAGGAGACGAAAGAGAAAATGGAGAGAGAAGGCTTACTCATGTTTTGTTTATATAAGGTTGTGTATCACATGATCAGCTCCCAGCTTAGTGTGCAAGAAATATCATTCCTCACATGCAGGCAATCTGATTGGTCAAAATTGACCAATCAGCAAGCTAGTTTTGAGGAGACTAGCCAATGAATGCTTGTCGTATGATCTGTATGTATGTATGTGTGTGATGGTGATGATAATCATCACAAACTGAAATGAAACTCATATTTATTTAACTTTGCAGGAAGCAAAGCAAGGAAAAGAATGTTTTAGTTTGTGTCATTGTGTTTCAAGTAGATAACATGTTTAATTTTAGTTCAGAATGTTTAAATCCTAAAATTTTTTTATAAAGCAATGATTTTAATTTTCTAGATGTTATATAACTTCTAAATAGTTTCATAAACTGAGATGATATCAATACGACAAACTCATATTCATTTTGATTGTTTTATTGTTATAATACCAGTTATAAAAAATCTTTTTTTTCTACATTTGTATTGAAATATGTGCTAATTTGGTTTGCAGCAAATATTAAACTAGTATTTCTTATAGAAAATTTTTTGTATTGACAAACAAAAAAATAGTTATTTCTACTAGTTTATTTAAAGAATTTGCAATATAACTTAATAAGTTTACTTCTTTAGTAACCCTTATTTCAATTTCAAACATTTTCTTGAATTACATTGGTTGTTAAATACAAAATAAGTTTCAAGAAATTTCCATAACAAAACAGTCAAAATTTGTGCAAAAATGGGCTCAACTGACATAAAAAAATCTTTCTCAAATTCATCCCTAATTTAAATGTTTCAAGAAATCTTATTGGCTAAAAAATAAAAAATACAACATTCGCCCACGCATTTCTCAGAAAAATTTGCTGCAGCTCCCAAGCCCCGTTGGAGCCGATTTCGTTGTTAAGAAAACTATAAATAGAAATAGTAAATGAATTTTCATCGGATTTGAGACTCACACAAACGAAAGATACACACGGGAATTATGTGCCGTCAAAGAAACAAACTTCCTTTATGAGAGATTAGAAAAATTTATACAACAAACTTTTTCACTCAATATCTTTCATAGAAAAATCTTTTGTCTAAGTTAAATTCAACCTTTTCAATCAAGGGCAGACAACTTTTTGGACATTGAACATTTCTGAAACAGTAAAGAACTTTTTCTCTAAAATATACCTTTGCACACATGATTACAAACAAAGAAATTGTAAATTGTCTATATAAAATTTAATCTGTTGTTTCAAACATGTATTTTTTGTTGTGATTGAATATCGTTACCATTTGGCCATTTCTTATAGTTTATGTTTGTTGATATTGCATATTTTATTTGCAGCACAAATCTTAAATATTCACGAAGCCTTCCTAGATCCACTACACTTCTCTAGCTAAGAAATGTCACTAATATATATCACTAGTAAAAAAAATATTCAAGACGAGTGTGGGCGAGTTAAAGAGTGGCTTCGTCTCAGCAGGGGTGTATTAGCCTAGGGGTCCAAAAGCGTCATAATCTGACCCTGATGAAAGCATTAAATAAATATAATGTTCACTAGTTCTTCATAGTTCACTTCACTGAAAAATCTAAATGAAGAAAATCAAAGGGAGAATATTTTTATATCTTTTCTTTTTTATATATCATTTACAAATTGCAATTTGAATATTGTTTAATGAATTATTGTAGGTTCCTCTACTTGCTCGCTGGAAAAATGTATAACATGATGAAATAGGCTACAAACTTAATAAAAACAAATTTTTTATCGTCAAGATTCGGTACACCACTTTTTCTCTGAAAAAAAAAAACTAAAAAAAAACAACATAGCATGATAAAAAAAAGGCCCCAAACTTAATAAAAACAATTTTTATCGTCAAAATAATATTTGTTGTTAATAAGAGTATATAGACCAAAATATTTTTTTTAATTATTTTATTAAATTTTTTAATCCATTCTAACACGTTCAAATTTTTTATTAAAAATCTTTTTTTTCAGTAAAAAACACATTGATTTTGGAAAATTTTGTAAAGATCAAATAATTGTCAGATTTTAATGAAACTTTCAGGACTTATTCACAAATAAATGAAATTTTTATTTTTAGAAAATACTGGTATTTTTTTTTTTTTTTAAATTTAATTTCATGTAATTAAGAGAAATTAAATATCAGTCACAAAATTTGTTTTATTAGCTAAAAAAAACAGGACAGCATTTAAAAAATTTGTGCAACATAATCTTCCAACCTCCATCGAATCTTGTGTCACGCTAATCTGTTTATTAACTAAATATGAATAATGAAAATAAAGAAAACTCACACTACCTTAAACACTTAATGCATTTCAATTAAAGGGAAATAACTCTTACATCTTCTGAAGAGTTATGCCCCTTATTTTTCTGTATTCATTGACGCTAAAAAAAACTTCAGCATATCAGTTTTCTTAATGTCTTCAAGATGAAAATCATTTTAAATGCATAACAAAGAATAATTTCCAATGCATTTTTATAATAAAACTCATTTCCAATGCATTTTAATAGTAAAAATTATTGGCCAATGCATTTTCATAAAAAAATCATTTCCAATGCATTTTCATAGTAAAAATCATTTCCAATGCATTTTCATAGTAAAAATCATTTCCAATGCATTTTCATAATAAAAAAATATTGGCCAATGCATTTTCATGGTAAAAATCCAATGCATTTTCATAGTAAAATCATTTCCAATGCATTTTCATAAAAATCATTTCCAATGCATTTTCATAGTAAAACTCATTTACAATTTTTCATAGTAAAAATCATTGGCAATGCATTTTCATAGTAAAAATTATTTTTCAATGCATTTTCATAGTAAAAATTTTCAATTTTTTCAAAAAAAAAATTTTTCAAATTTTCATAGTAAAATCATTTCTGACTTTCAAGAAAATCATTTCAAATTTTTTAGTAAAAATATTTCAATTTTTCAATACATTGGATTGTCAATGCCATAGAAAAATCATTTCAATGCATTTTCATAGTAAAAATCATTTTCAATGCATTTTAATAAAAGAAAAATCATTTTCAATGCATTTTTAGTAAAAATCATTGGCCAATGCATTTTTATAAAAATCATTTACAATGCATTTTCATAGTAAAATCAATATTTTCATATAAAACATTTTCATAGTAAAAATCATTTCATTAAAAATCATTTCAATGCATTTTCATAGTAAAAAATCAATGCATTTTCATAGTAAAAAATCATTTTTTGCATTTCATAGTAAAATCATTTCAATGCAAAAAAAAACCAATGCATTTTATAATAAAAATCATTTCAATGCATTTTCATATGTTGAAATATTTTTTTCATAACAAAAATCATTATTGATGCATTTTTTTTATAGTAAAACTCATTTACAATGCATTTTTTAGTAAAATCATTTCCAATGCATTTTCATAGTAAAAATCATTTTAATGCATTTCATAAAAAATATTTCAGCCCATTTTCATAGTAAAATCATTTCAATGCATTTTCATAAAAACCATTTCAATGCATTTTCATTGTAAAAATCATTTCAATCCATAGTAAAATCATTTCAATGCATTTTCATAGAAAATGGCATTTTTCATGGTAAAATCATTTCCAATGCATTTTTGTTTTTTGCATTTCAATGCATTTTCATAGTAAAAAATCATTTCAATGCATTTTCATAGTAAAATTATTATTTAATGCTTTTCATGTCCTTGTTGTTTTTTTCATTTCATTCTGTGTTTGTTGTCAAGGAACTTTTGCACTGAATTTCCTCCTTTTTTAGCAAAATCAATGATGTGGAATTGAGAAGATTATTATAAAACTGGGAAAGATTGCTATTAACAACACTGATCTCCCCTCAACAAAAAAAAACTGTAAATATATTGAACTTAGATAAATACAAACAAACTATTTCAAAATTTTGAATTTTTATATTTCAGCCCTGAAAAGCTATAAGACCATGGAAAATTGAACTCCACACAAGATGGCAGGTAAGCCATTCTGTTTGTTGCAGTCAAATTTGGGAAAAGTAGACTTAATCTTGCAAAACCCATTCTGTGTCTGTTGAAGGTTTTCCATTTCCTCCTTTTGCAAGAATCAATGATGTGGAGATGAAATAAATACAACATTTAAAAATAAAGTAATCGTAATAGACTTTGACGATGAGAAATAGGATAATCTTGTGGATTCATAGAAGATGAAAAGAGTAAAAATAAAAGTTCATAGTTTTCTCAGGATATTCTTGTGTCAAAATCTTATTCGAAATGTCTTAACTTTGGATGTCTTCTTGGATGTCTCTTGAGGGCTGTCTGGGGGTCAGGGTTTTTATAACTGTTTATTGGCTCCCAGGCAGAGATTTGGTTTTTAACTGTGTTAATGCTTCTGGCTGGTGTTAAGCAATGAAAATGTGTTTAATGTCATAGTTTTTTAGTGTTTGTTGCTATACAGAAATCATGCTGAATGAACGGGTAATAAGAAGGTGTAGAATAGGATTAGGTGTTACTATGTTCATAATTCCCTCTATTTAAATGTATTTAGTATTTGCAACAGAGGAAATATTAGAAACAAATGATGAATAATGAGGATATTAACAAGTGTGTATATTAGCAACAAATGCAAAATTATTTGAATATTAGCTACAAATAATATTAGTAACTAGCTCCCGTGAAGGACTCTTGGTTTGGCCATCATCACAATAGCTGCAAAGGAGTATATACGATAGACATCAATAAACTACAGAACACAAAATTGATCACTGCATTTAAGTAGTGAATTAATATTTAAGCTTACCTTTTAAAAGTTCAATGATATTTTTTCTGCTGCCACTTAATTTAAAGACAATTTGATGTACGTCGGTCCTTATTTTCCATACAACAATTATTCTTATTTTATGGGTGACAGAACAGGGGACAATTTATAAGATAAAATTAATATATGGGAAATAGAAATTAGAATTAGTTATACATTCAACATTTGAAGAGTTAGAGAAATATAATAACTAATTAAGTAAAACCTGTATTATGGAAATTAACATGCTAGATAATAATTTAAAATATATATTCTTATATATTTTGAAGAATAAAAGGGATAGGTAATGTTAGAGAATATGTAAAATGGCTGAAAATAGCAAATCCTACCTTACTGGTCAGAACTCTGACAACCTGAACTGAATGGGTGTGATCTGAAGCTACTGGGCAACATTTAAGCTAGCTCCTGCAAAGGGCTCTTGATTAGGCCTTCATCACAATAGGTAGGGAGGAGTAGATACGATAGGCAACAATAAACTACAGAAGAACTCAAAATTGATTGATGCATTTAAGTATTGAATTAACATTTAAATGTTAATTCAATACTTACCTTTTAAAAGTTTAGTGATAATTCTTCTGATGCCACTTAATTTAAAAACAATTTGATGTATGTAGGTCCTTAATTTCCATAATATAGATTTTACTTAATTAACTCTTATGTTTCTCTAACTCTTCAAGTGTTGAATGTATAATTAATTCTAATTTCTATTTTCCCACTATTTACATTATTCGAACTATTGTCCTCATCTTTGTCGCCATGTTTATCACAACATTTCAGTCATTGTACGTTCCGGCCTTCTTCAGGTGGTTGGAATGTTGAACTGAACCCTTTATTTCACTCACTGGGGTAGACTAGTTCTAGTTCCACATGCCATGTCTAATGGATGTCAGTTATCTCCTGTTAATTCACTTCTCAAAGTTCTCCACTGCCTTAACCAGGAGATCTTTGAGAGGGGAAATTTAAATATCTGGGAAGTGTTTTAACAGTGTGACAATAAAATCCAAAGGCATACTAAGATATCCAAAGATGCATTCCAAAATTTGAGCAGTGTACTAAGAAATAGAAAAACTTCACTAAAAACAAGGAAAAAAGTATTAAACTGTTACATGATATATATCTTCCTGTATGACAGTGAATGCTGGACAATCTCCTCAAGGCTAAAGAAGACACTTGAAGCAACAGAAACGTCGTTCTACAGAAGGATGCTGAGAATACCATAGACTGAAAGTGTGAGAAGCAATAAACTTTTAGAGAAAATGAAAACAAAAAGGACTCTTAACATCAGGAAGAGACAGTTGAAATTTCTTGGATATCTAATACAAGATAGATTGTCGATGAACCTGATGTCTGGTCTGAGGGCTTGGAACATCTAATACAAGATAGATTGAAGGCAAGAGACACAGAGGAAAGCAACACATAACATACTTAGTGAGCCTATAACAGTAGGTGCTGTTAGAAATTGTTCTGTATTTCCCTTGTGGGTAACGATCTGACCAAAGGGTACTTTTTAAGCCACAATTATTTGACTGGAAGATACTGCACCCCATCAACAACCCTGGTGTTTGGTCTGAGTTGCAGCACAACATCATTTTGACAGTGTGTTTTTTTTGTTCTTCATTTTTAGATGAAGATGACAATACAACGAAATTTGTTATCTGTAAATCTATAAATATAAATCTATATCTATCTATTGTGCATCTTCCCCACCACCGCCTATGCCTAATCTCTACTTTGCTCACTTATAGCAGTAGGTTACAATCCAAGAATAAAATCTGGTTTACTGAGAGAAATTGTTGTGTTTTTCTTTTGTGGGTAACGGTCTGGCTGAAGGGCACTTTTTAAGCCACAATTGTTTGACCTGAAGAAGCTACACCCTGTTGACAAACCTGGTGTCTGGTCTGAGTTGCAATGTAACATTGATAAACCATAAAAAAAGCCAATCAATCAATCGTATGGAAACAAAAAGGGGACACTTATACTTAACATCAGGAAGGGACAGTTGAAATTCCTAGGACACATCATGAGGAAAGAGGGCTTGGAACACCTAAATACGAGATAGGTTGAAGGCAAGAGAGACAGAGACTCATAACATACTTAGCGGACTTGAGTAAATGGATGGTGGAATGGATTTTAGGAGAAATAACAGGAAGACAAAATTTATTAAGAGCTGCAATGGACAGGAAGTTGTGGAGAGCCATGATCGCCTATGTCCTGAGGAGACACAGCACATAAAGAAGTGGTTAAAAGAAAAAAAATATGTTTTCACCCTTTTTCTTTATATATTTTATACTAAGGTTCATCAATTACAAGACCTAAGAGCCACTCAAAGTAGAGGATTATTGTAGGAGGTGTGTGAAATGAGTATAAGAATTAAACATTATGAGGATATGGAGAAGGAAAGTTGGTTCTCTGTGACGTGCCAGAAGATTTTTCTTGTCTGTGTCTGTCTTTCATATCTACACATCCACCATTCGTCTAAGCATTGAATACAGTTGCCATATCTGGTCTGGTGTCTCAGCTGTTCATCTCGAGATTCTTGACAAAAACCAAAAGACGGATATGCAATGTGATAGGTCCTGATCTGGCATCTTGACTTTCTCACAGACGGGATGTAGCTTCCCTCTGTCTTTTCTACAAATAGTTTCACTGGTACCCTGACTACATGAATTTCAGCATGCTACTATGTTGGTGTCTCGGTCCCACCCTTTCTTTTACTGTTGAAACAATTAAATGTAACTGCCTCTACCACTCTAACAGCTTCTTCTCTCGCACTTCCCAACAGTGGAACTCCCTTCCTCTTACTTGCTTCTCTGATAACTATAATTTTCAAAAATTTAAATATAATATCAATCAACATCTTCTGTTGCCTTGATCAACTTTCTTCTTTTTACCTTTCTCCACCCCTTATACCCATTCTTTTCTCTTACTTAAACTCTCCGTAGCCCCTTGCGTATTAGTGGCACTCCCACTTTGCTTGGGGTGAATTGCTTAAAAAAAAAAAGATAATGATTGACACTATGCTTGAGGTTAAGGTTTTAGTATTCAGGGAAGCATTAATATGTGAGTCTCTTACACTGCTTTGTCATCAGCAGAAGTTCTTTGACAGACAAGTGGGGTTACCCCATATGCTCAAACCTAGGTCAAAGCCAGGATTTCAGATGCTGATTTTCAAGACAGGAAAGCTCTTGTCATAAAAATTTGATGCAACAAAATCTTCCTACTCCTGGTGCAGTACTAAACTCAACTGCCGGCATCACATTTCTGCAAGAAAGACTGTTCTTTTAGATTTGTAAACTCTTAAAATCCATTTTACTGCATTTCTCATAGCCATTGTTATCTCTTTCTTCTTCCCCCTTCTGTAGATATATTTTTTTTCTTTTCACTATTTTCTCATTAGTTCTCGTCCATTTGTGCTGTTTGGAATTAATGCAAGCAAGAAATCCATTCAAAATTTATCAACTGTGAACGCTGGAACACTTGGGAATTCTGGAGAGAACGGAAAGCCAGCAATCTTAATGGTAGGTACTTGTCAATCTTTTTGCTTTTATCAGATTTTACTGTTTACACCCATTGTTTTTTTATATACTAAAGTACACCCAATACAGGGCCCAAGAGCCACTCAAAGCAGAGGGTTATTGAGTGTTGTTATATGGGCCTAAGAAAAGGAAAGAAGTGAAGTTCATGGGGCTATGCAGGAAATATAATCGTTAACCTTATATTTGAAGAGGTCAAGATTGTAGTGAATGGGATAACATCCTACTGAGAATCTGTACCATAAAGCAGCCATTCTTGGGAAGAAGCTTTCTGAATGGTATTTACTTCTTACTGTAGCAATGCGAAGGCAATGTGGATAATTTCCACTTGTGTACATGGCATGGCAGGTCCCAGTAGTAAAGGTCAGGGCTGGTAAAGTTAATGGGGCTATGCAGGAAAGATAATGGTTAACCCTAGACATGAAGAGGTCAAGATTGTAGTGAATGGGAAAACATCTTCCTAGGAGTCTGTTCCACAAAGCAACAGTTCTTGGGAAGAAGCTGCCTGAATGGAACTTACTTCTTACTATAGGAATGCAAAGGGAATCCGGATAATTCCCGCTTGTGTACATGGCATGTAGTAGTAAATGTCTGGGCTGGTGACGTTCATGGGGTTATGTTCACCCATACAAGACCCAGTAGCCTCTAGAGGTAGAGGATTACTGTATAGTGTTGCATGAGTAAGAAAAGACAAGAAGTGAAATTCATGGGGCTATGCAAGAAAGATAAACGGTTAACCCTAGACATGAAGAGGTCAAGATTGTAGTAACTTGGAAAACATCCTCCTGGGAGTCTGTTCCACAAAGCAGCAGTTCTTGTGAAGAGGCTTGCTGAGTGGAACCTACTCCCTACTAATGGTATATCTATCAAACCCTTCACCTAATACAAAGCACAAGAGCCACTCAAGTTAGAGGGCTATGGTATGTTGCTGTATGAGCATAAGAAAAGGCAAGAAATCCATGGGGTTATGCAGTAAAAATAACAGTTAATCTTAAAATTGACGAAGTCAAAATTGTAGTTTTGTTTATCAACACACAATGCCCTCTCATCTTCAAACTACCCCTAACCTAATAAAAACACTATAATACTGGATTTTTATAAGCCTATGTTTTTTTTTTGTTTTTTTAATAAAACCATTTTAAGGAAAATAGGAACAAAAAAGGCAATTATACTTAAAATCAGAAAGAGAAAGTTGAAATTTCCGATAGGCAACGTTTTAAGGATCATAAGTGTACCCAAGCACACTGATTGAGAAACACTGGACTATAACATTCTGTGAATTCTGATTGGGCAATTAAAATTGATATTCATAAAATAAAATCAAGGAAAATATTTTCTGAATGTCTTAGAAATGAATGAACACAATAAGAAGTACTTGCAGGCCTTGAAAATGTTGAAAAAAATGTTCTGAAAATCTATAAATTTCATTCAAATTTTTATTATTGTTTCTTTTTTAAATTTTTCTTTATTTCAAAGGTTTGTCAAGTTGTCTCTCCATGCTTTCCTGTGTCTTGTTGCCGTACTTACTTCTTCCAGAATGAACCTTTCATATGTGTGTATACATTTAATTTTATTATTAATTTTTTTGTATTAACATTTTTTTTTAAATTTATTTTTTTTTAAATATAAATGTGTCTTTACTAGTTAGTAGCCTGTAATATGTCATAAATAGTGTGTCCAATAAACATTTACAAACAAATGTATTGACTGAAACATGTATTTTTTTGATAAATCTAAACTTTAGTATCTGTCTATATTTCTGAGATAAGGTATTATGTACACTATTTACATTATTCGGACTATTGTCCTCATCTTTGTCGCCATATTTATTACAACGTTTCAGCCCTTCAGTATCTGTCTATATTTCTGAGATGAGATATTATGTACACTATTTTCATTATGCCTTTATCCACTGTGTCATGTGTCCTTGAGTTAGATCCAGTGACAGGACCCAAAGAGTGTGAGTTCAATACCTGGTTAAGGCAGTGGAGAACTTTGAGAGGGGAATTAACAGGGGATAACTGAGATCCATTAGACATGGCACACGGAACTACAACAGTCTACCCCAGTAAGCAAAATAAAGGGTTCAGTTCGACATTCCAACCACCTGAAGAAGGCTGGAGCGTACAACGGCCGAAACGTTGGCAACAAAGATGAGAACAATAGCCTGAATAATATAAATCTAAACTTTGTTTTCTTGAGTGTTTTGAGATTGAAGTTTTTTCTTATTTGCTCAATAATTTTATTTTGATGTTTGTTCAAAGTCAATAATATAAAATATTTAAAATAAAATAAACATTTAAATAAGTATTTATTTAATTAAAGAGAAAAACTGTAATTTTTTAATATTTGTTTTGTTTTCTATATTTACGAAACTAGAATTTTTTTGCAACACTCGTTAGTTTGAGGAATTCCTCACAGTATTTAGTATTGTTGAAGTTATTGCTAACATTTTCTGTCGAGATCTGCAAGCTCAACGTTTTGTTCAGTTTCACAAACCAAGCAATGAAATTTAAATTGGCTGAATTGTTTTGAAAATCACCTTGACAAAAAGCACTACTTGGCACTTTTTGCACAACCTAGTAAAACCAACTGTATTTTGTACTCCTTATGTGTTTAAACTTCTCACCAAAATTTGGTTTCAATTAATCAATGTATGACTATTTTAGAGGGTGTGAGGAATAGAGAGACAGACTAATGGAAGTCACAGTATTTTATATATAGATACTTTTCTAATAGTGAACATATATATATATATATATATATATATATAATATATATATATATATATATATGCACATTTCACTGAATATGACAGACAAGGTGCTTTTATTTTTTTTTTTTATACAATTTCTCATGTGATCTAATAATTTTTTTTTTTTTAGATGATAAATTATATAAAACTGTCAAAATGTTCTTTTTTATCCAAGCATTTTTCAGCTATACATTTAGCCATTTTCATTTTAAATATTTTAACTGTTAATTAAGTAATAGTTTATTGCATGTATGTTTTATAAAAATGTTTTCATTTTTCAAAAATACAAATCAAAATATTGTGTCCATGTTCAAAGTTAATATTATTAAATGCTGGTTTGTTTGTTTTTAAAAATAATTAATATATATATATATATATGCTTGAATACAAATAAAATAAAATTTTAACATTATATACCAGACTTATGCCCATATCATATTGAAACAGTGGTTCAATATGATCACCAAAAATAATTTTTTTACCTGGTCATTTAATACCTTATGGGTGACAGTTTGAGAATGCAGGTACTGTAAGCTTGAATATGTGGATACAAATGGCTTATGGCCATATTTTGAAATGCCAGTTCTCATATGATCACCAAAATTGAATATCATCAAGCCTGGTTAGTAACTAGATAGGTGACCACTTGGGAATACCAGGTGCTGTCATTGTTGAAATGTTTATGGTATAATGGAATAATATCAGAAATAAATTCCAACTTAGTTGGGTTCATTATTTTTTTTACGTGGAAATAATTAAATAATGCAATGATTTAAATTTAATCCCTCCCAGCTTTGTGTTAATTATGAGGACATGTATCATTAAATCATTATCTTGAAAAAAATTCTTAAAATCTAAAAATATTCTCTGGCTTTAAATAAGCTGCAAAGGGTTGATAAGCTGTAAAAAAACCAAATCAAACTTCATGTTATATTTACTTGTTTGAGATGCATATATCAATTGCGAATCCCATGAACCATCAGTATCATAGTCTAGACTGGTTGCCACCCAAGGCTATAGAACCCAGTCTGTCCTGTTAAAATATGCCATTTTGGTGGAAAGAAGAGGATTCATAAAAAATTCCTAAGGGTATTAGCATGTAAAAATGAATGTCATGGAATTGATGGAATTATATTTTAAATCTCCGATTTCTCAATCTGAGCCGCCATCCATTACTCCTTTTTTTTCTTTAGTAGGTTTGCCATTTCTTTTTTTCAGATCCATCCAATTAAATAGAAATTAGTTTGTTAAAAAATTCAATACCCAAAGCTGGGATAAAAGAAGAAATTTACTCGTAACTGGAAAAACCAAAAAAAAAAAAATTTGTTAACAACAAATTTTTTTCAAAACCCAACCCAGTTCTGCAGAATCAGAATCAACGTTGAGTTTAAGCAAATGAATGAGCCAATTGAGTAAAGTAAAATATATATTTAAATTTTTACCACTTGTGATATAATGCAGCTATCGATTTTTTTTTTGTATGCTAGCATGCTAATTAACATTCATGTCAGTCAGCTGTTGGCTCTCATGCTGGCCAATTTAATTTCCCTGCCTATTCATGGCAGCCAGCTATTAGCTTCTTCACTTGGCCAGTAGAAAATGGCAACAAACTATATAAAAGTGCCATAGAAGCATGAAAAAAAAATTATTTCCACTATCGATGGGAGTTGGGAAAAAGCAAGGTTGGTCTTGGCCTTTTTTTTAATTGGAGCATTTGCATGTAAATTTTGGTGCAAATCCATCGAAAATTGCAGCCGTGCATTCGTTACACACACATATCCTGCCTTTTATAGATAGAGATTCCCGCTTATTAATCAAATGGACACTTTTTATTTCATTTCAAAAATTTAAGAAAATAGAAGAATTAACCCATAAAAATTGGTGGGAAAGAGGATTTATGCCTTTTCCAAGGGTATTAGTTTTTTAACAAAATCTAACATGGATGTGAATGGAAAAACAATTCAGCTCTCTGAATCAGTCCAAGCCATAAAATCCATTACTCCAAATTTTGCCTCCTTTGTGAGATGCATATAACTGTTCACCAAATTGAAAAAAATAATTTAAACGAAAAAGTTGAAACATTTCCCACATAATGACATTAGCTTGGTGATTTACAATTTGCCAATAATGTCTTTATTTTATGTGGGAAGTAATTTTATAAAAAAATTTTGTATAAAAGAATATTGGGTATAAAGTGTGGGGGGTCTTCTATTGTTATTAAGTAATAAACTGATCCCCCTTGAAAATGGTAAGACATTAGCTAGATGAAGACACCATTGCCAATAATGTCTTACCATTATGTGGGAGGTATTTCTGCCGTACAGTGTACTTCTTGTTTGGACAACAAAATTGTTTTCTTTGTTGTCATGTTGTTTTCCTAATATGAAGCCTTGTAAAAAGTATCATTTCAGTCAAGACTATTACAATTTCTTTTTAAACAAAATTTATTTTATTCTTTGTAAATTTAAAAAATCTTGAATTTTACATTTCAGACAATGAAAAGCCTCAGGAAGTCAGCACAAAATATTTGAGGTAAGGTTTTTTTTTCCAATTTTTAAAAATTTTGGATGATGAAAAAATAATAATTCTCTGTTAAAGCTTTAATAAAATTGAAACATGTTTGATTGATAAACGTTTCCTATTTGTTTTTTATCTTATAAATTGTGTCGGAAAAATTTTTATATTAAATAAATAAAAACAATATTTAATGGTTTTTCTGTTAGGCTTTTGATCCCTTTCATTATTTGGAACTTTCAAAACTAACGAATATCTTATCAAAATTCCCATTAAACCACACCATTCTTATAAAAACCTTTTGTTTTTAACATTAAGTTAAATAAAATTGAAACATGTTAGATTAATAAACATTTTTTATTTGTTCTTATTTATTTATTTATCGGATTTTATTTATACTTCCATAAATAAAACAATATTTAATTTTCTTTTCTGTTAGGCTTGGAAAATTATGGTCATAACTTTTCATAAGGGATCGTGTATATTCCTTTTCCTTTTTTATGCCACAAGTTACAATAACCTTCAGATCTTAACAAGTCAAATTTGAAGAAACCTTATTAAGTTTTTTTGAAAATCAAACAACACAAAAAATAAAAAAAAGAAAAAATTTCTTTCTTCTTTTTCTCCATATCTCATTCTCTGGAGAAGCTTTAATAAAACTGAAACATGTTAGATTGATAAACGTTTCCTATTTGTTCATTATCTTATCATTGATTAATCCAAAAAAATCACAAATCACAAAGGAATAAGAACTTTTGAATAAAGACAAAATTGTTCCAAAATTAAAAATATCCCATGTCAAGTTTTATTATACAATTTCAAAATAAAATTGATATCTGGCCACATATCAATCAGTTGCTATATATCAATGGCTATGTATCATTCAGTGCCTATATTTCATGGGTAACTTTCACTGGATTTAATTGATAAATGAACTATTCCGTTTATTTCCAAGAAGTTTAAGTTCAAATTGTAGATTATATTGAAATTTTGTTCAAAAAATCATTTTAAAAAAATCAAAATGAAACAATCGCATTAATGAAATTCTTTTTTAACAAATATTTCAATTTATATAAATGATATCCATTATTGGAATGTTTTTAATTTGAAAATAGAAAAATTTTGAATTGTATTTAATAGTATATGTTGAGTTAATACCTCTAAATAAAACATTTATTTATAAATGTGACATTAGTGACATACTGACATCCGCATATATTATATATATACATTCATTATATATATATATAATATATTATATATATATTTAAATTTTTCAGAAAATTGAAATGAATTTAATAACCTATTAATTGTTCAATTGGCGAATAAGATTTGAACCGACATTTTTAAGAAATGATTAAAAGATATCTTACTGGAATTCTCTAAGGTTTTTATAATACTATTGGACTCTACTTTGAACAATAAGAATGTATAATTATCCTCTAAGCTTAACAGAATTGTGATGAAATCGATCATAAACGAAAATGACATGTTCATCATTAATTAATTATAGCTAAGGATCGGAAGCTCATGAAAGATTGAAATAAAGTTCAAATATATATATATATATATATATATATATATATATTTTCCATATTATTCCAGATGATTTTTGCCCTTTTCAAGATATCTTCCCTTCTAACCTTTTCTGTCCTGAGTAACAAGGTGTTACATGTTTCATTTAAAGATTTCATTTTCAAGTTTTTTTTCACTGCTTTTGGACTGTTTTAGCTGAAACTCCTCTCTCACGTGCCAACGTCTTATGGATTGAGTTGGATCTTTTCTAATTGGTCTCTTTACCTCAAAGTTAAAATGATGATTTCTTCTCCTGTTGTGACATCTTGATCCAGTTTTCCTCTCTACTGTTCCCTTTTTTTTAAAACTTATTCACCATTCTCTTGATGGTTCTTGAATGGACTTTGAAGATGGAGGCCAGAGTATGAATGTTGGTACCATTATTGAAGGCCTGAATGATCTTTTTCCTCTCACCATTTCTCAGTTGAGAAGACAGTGGGTCTGACACAAAACGATTTTAACCTGTTCTCTTTTTAGCTGAATAACTCAAAGGGTCTTTTAGTGATTCTTACGACAAATGGGGTCAAGATGGCTAAACATCTTATCAGAAAACCTGGAAAAAAGAAACTCAATTAGTTTAGTTTTTTTTTTAGATATTAAATATTTTGTGGGATGGACAAGTATGCTGTTACACGATTTGAACAATTTTGCTGTTAATCCCAGTATATAGGCTTCAACCTGTTGAAATTATCACCCAGCCTATATGGCTCTGTATACATTTTCTGGATTATACATTTGATCTTAGCTTTCCACCGTCAAAATCAACATACCTCAGCTCCACCCTTTCGGACACCCTCTCTTTAGACATTGAGATCAGCAGATGGATTGAATGAACTGCCACCATGTTTGCCAGGCTGACCTCAAGAGTCTGGGAGAATGGAAAGCTTACTACAAACCCCAAAATTGCTGTCTATAGGATATTGTGTCGTCAGCGTCCTGCTCTATGATAGCAGGGCATGTAGCATCAACTCCAGACAGGAGTGACACCTCAGAACCTTTATTCTTTGCTGCCTGAAATGCATTCTGTGCGTTAATTAGTCTGACCAGGTCACCAATACTGCAGTTCTAATCCATGCTCAGTTTCCCAGCCTATACACCCTTCTCTAACATTGCCAGCTATGCAGGCTTGGACATGTACACCATATGCCGGATGGGAGGATACCCTTCTGTATGGGAAACTGGCCATAAGCAAGAGGACGACCTCATCTTCACTTCAAGGACATCTCCAAAAGAACATTGATGAGTGGGAAGATGTCGCCATCAGTCACTCATGCTGGAGACGCGATTTACACCAAGGGCTGGAATGAGGAGAGGATAAGTGAAGGCTTGCCACTGTAGAGAAACATTCTCAACAAAAAGAAAACAAAATGACAATATTAGGAAAGAGCATTTTCATGTATTCATGTAACCAAGGTTGTCACTCCCGTGTGGGTCCATACAGTCATAATAAATGTCGTGCTGTCATCAGCAGCTGAAGCATAGACTTAGGATACTGATCCCTGGTCTCTCGAGAACTAAGGATGCCATACACATACATACATTTGATATTAAAACATCTACTTATACATAGTTCTGCTGTAATATTTTCTAACTGCTAAATACTTTTTAGCATGTTTATTGGGAGGAAATTGAATATTTTTCATATCTGAAGCTGTTATCCTATACACAGATTTGAATGGAAGTTAATAACTTTCATTTCTTTGTTTTGGCCTCAAAGTTTTCCCTTAAAACTGAACATCTGCTTAAGACAATTCTGCTGTTATTTAAGTTTTTAGATATTTTTTTTAATTTTTCACATTTAGATTTGAAAATTATATTTCCTTGATTGAGCTTTTCTCAAAAAATTCATTATTTTAAAGAAACAGTCTATTGAAATATTAAAAATCTGATTTCATTTTATATATTTATACTATTTAAAAAAATCAGACTGTTTCAGATCTTAACTCACATTTAAAACATTTTGTTCTCAAAAAATAATCAAAATTCTTCAGGTTCAATCTATATTTCTAAGATTTAGTATTGTGACTATTTTTCTGTATTTACATTGTTCAGACTGTTGTCCTCATCTTAAGATTGTCATCTTCACAAATATTTTTGGTTATTGTTGTATTTCTACTGCCCTTTCAGGTTCTGTCTATATTTCTAAGATGAAGTATTGTGACTATTTACACTATTTACATTGTTCAGACTGTTGTCCTTGAATCTTAAATTTCACAACCTGGAGCTTATGTCATTGTATACTTTCAAAAAAATAAGTTTACTTATCTCAAGATGAAACCCAAATGTCCCACTATTTACACTATTTTCATTATTCAGATATTTGTCCTCATATAAATTAATTAAAATTATTTTGGATTTTATTTTAATAGTCGGAAAATTCCTTTTTTTTCTGTTTCTATTTTTTCTAGATGAAGTTTTGTGAATTTTTAGATTGCTTTAATTATTTAGACTTCCACATTTTTTTTTTATTCAAAAAGGGAACCCTGTTATAAATATTTTTAAATACCCTTTATTTAGTCCACAGAGATAGAAAATGTTCTAATGATCATATATTAAATTTACGCTCGATTTGAAATAGATACATGAAAAATACATTAGTTATCCAGTAAGAAATATTTTTGAATTGTCGATTTTGAAGAAAAATCTTTATACACATTGTCTTTATTACATGTATGATGTATAATGTATTGAATGCAAATTTGGTTCTTTTTGTGGGTCACAGTAAAAAAAAACTTTGAAAAAAAGCGCTGTTCTAGTTTACCAACATCTTGAAAATTTCCATGCACACTTTTGAACCTTGAATCCTAAACCTCAGGCAAGGATCTGTAATTTAACTGGATGGGTGTCTATTTGTAGCTACTTGATAAGATGACACTAATTTAAAAAATTTCGAATCAATTAGGCTTGTGTCCACCCTAAAATCAAATTAACTGAATTTACTGAGAGTGATAAGCACTATTTATATTGTTGGACCTGTTTGTCTTCATCTTCATTACTACATTCATGAAGTTTCAGCTGTTGCACACCCCAGCCTTCTTCAGGATCTGTCTATATATCTGTAATGTGGTATTGTAACTATTTACATTGTTAGGACTGTTTGTCCTCATCTTTATTGCCATATTCACCTTCAACATCTGTCTCTATTTCTCAGATGAGGTATTGTAACTATTTACATTGTTTTGGCTGTTGTCCTCATCTATATTCACAATGTTTTGACTGTTGTATGTTATTGCCTTCTTCAGATAATATATGTTGGAATTTCAAACCAAGATCTTCATTTAATCCATGGGGTAGATTGGTCTAGTTCCATGTGCCATGCCTTTTCTGGATATATTAGTTTTGGTTAATTCCCTTTAGTAACTCAATTCACCAAGTTCTTATGTTAACCTCCAGGAGAGTAATTATTGTGACTTGGTTTAATATTTTCCATGATGAATCAGAACAGTTATAGTAAATTAATTACTAATAGTTTCTTTTCTTGTATTATTTTCGCTTGTTTCAACCTCTTTCTGGTTGTTACTTTTCAGAAAAGTTTGATTTTCAAAATTTAAATTACTTGTCAGCATGTTATCTTCAGCCATTTTTGTTCAATTTATTGTTCTTACTGTTTAATGATCTTTTCTTTTTCTGATATTCTTTCATACTTAGTAACCCCCTACACATGGCTGATACAAGAATCTATAATATGCCCCACCCCACACCAAATGTATGATACAGGACCCCCCCCCACTCTACTAAATCTCAATTTTCATTAAGTAGTATACATATAAAATACAAATTTTATTGTAACCTAATTATGTACAATAATGGATCATATGCAAACCAGGTGAACAATTTAACTAGAAAAACTGAAAATAAATACAATGCATCTAAATACAAATTAGAGACATGTCATAATAGATGATTCCATCTTAAATAAATCAGCAATGTTGCAGCAATTTTTAACATCAACTTTAGCTCAAGTGGCCTAGCAAAGGACCGGAAGCCTAAGGGCAAAACATTTAATTTTGTTCTCTTGCAGACCATCCTTGGGTCAAATTTATAGAAAAGCAGGAAAATATATTCTATTCAAGTGGAAACTAAACTCAGAACAGTCTTGCACAAGGCCAGTATAGAGGAGCAATCACTTAGAACAGAGCCGGTGAAAAGGTCTCGTACCCACATCCGAATCTTTGGTACAGAGACCCCACTCTATTACATCTTGATTTTCATAATCTAGTATTCATATAAAATACAAATTTTATTGTAACCTAATTATGTACGATAATGGATCATATGCAATATAGGTGAACGATTCAACTATAAAAATTGAAAATAAATCCAATGTATCTAAATACAAATTAGAGACCTGTCATAATAGATGATTCCATCTTAAATAAATTGACAAAATTTTTAACATCAACTTGAGATTTTAGAGTTTAAATAAAATAAATTCTGTGTTCCTTAATGTTTATGGTTTGTTTTATTTTCAGGCTGAAGAGAAAGCAAGAGAAATTCTCCAAGAAAATAAAACCTCCTTGAATGATGAAAATTTAAAAAAGCATCTGGACCGCAGGTTTGTGTACAAGATCCCTTAGATAATTTTGTGAGGAGACATTATCATTTCTAGCAAATATGCATTGATTTCACTTCTTTTCTTTCATCCACAATGTTTCAACCAGTCTCTTCTATGGCCATCTTCAGGAAGATAAAGATCCTTTCCATAATTTTGAGAAGAGATATTATAATTCTAGCAGATGTGTATTGAATTCATTTCTTTTGTTTCATCCACAATGTTTCAACCAATCGCTTCTATGGCCATCTTCAGGAAGATAAAGACCCTTTCTATAATTTTGAAAAGAGGTATTATAATTCTAGCAGATGTATATTGAATTCATTTTTTTTGTTTCATCCACAATGTTTCAACTAATCACTTCTATGGCCATCTTCAGGAAGATAAAGACCCTTTCTATAATTTTGAGAAGAGGTATTATAATTCTAGCAGATGTGTATTGAATTCATTTCTTTTGTTTCATCCACAATGTTTCAACCAATCGCTTCTATGGCCATCTTCAGGAAGATAAAGACCCTTTCTATAATTTTGAGAAGAGGTATTATAATTCTAGCAGATGTATATTGAATTCATTTCTTTTTTGTTTCATCCACAATGTTTCAACCAATCGCTTCTATGGCCATCTTCAGGAAGATAAAGACCCTTTCTATAATTTTGAGAAGAGGTATTATAATTCTAGCAGATGTATATTGAATTCATTTCTTTTGTTTCATCCACAATGTTTCAACCAATCGCTTCTATGGCCATCTTCAGGAAGATAAAGACCCTTTCTATAATTTTGAGAAGAGGTATTATAATTCTAGCAGATGTATATTGAATTCATTTTTTTTAGTTTCATCCATGATGTTTCGACCAATCTCTTCTATGGCCATCTTCAGGAATACAATGATCCTTTCTATGCTTCTGAGAAGCGTCACTATCATTCCCAGATCTGTTTTGACATCTGAACTCATTCTCTGTTGTTCACATGTTTTCCTCAAATTTCTGACCAATCCATTCTCTGGCTTTTTCTGCCTTACAATGTGTGTGTGTGTATAAAAATAAAGGTTATGTTACAATCCTAGATATTCATATAGTACAGCCGTCAATGGCTTATGAACAATTTTGTCTCTCACTCACAAGATATGTGTCAATGCTTGGTATGGTTTTCAGCCACCCCCCAACAGTGCTATATACCAGGATTGTCATAAATTATCCTTATTCCTTTCATATTCTGTTAGTAAGATGGAAGTTCCATTCGGACATTTTTTCACCAGAACTCCTATGCCATGGAACAGACGCTCAAGTCAAGGGTCAACCATTATTTTTCTTACATATCCTCATAATCTGTACTTCTTACCTCCTCCTATGTTCATACATCAACCTCATTCAATAACACTGTAGTGTAGTGTTAGTGACTCACAAGAAGTAGTATGCACTCAACTGCCTCATGGGTAATAGTTGTAGCTATTTATAGTATTTGTGACTTCATATGTAAATGAGTCACCTCATCTCCCTGTACCAAAGAGTTTTTATCCCCTTATTTATCCCCTGGTACTTCTTCTGAGAGATTTTGTCTCCTCACTAAGAGATTGTCTAGATATAGGAGATTGTGATCTTTTTCCTTTTTGTCATAGAAGTGTTCTTCCAACTATTGTTCCTCTTCAGAGTTTATATTGCTCTCGGTTTCACTGTCAAGTTTGTCTTGCCCTGACATGACATTTTCACCTACATTACTTTCAGGCTCGCTATACATTTCTTCATCATTATCGTGTTGAAATCTTGTCTTCAGTCACTTTTCCACCACTATGATATAGCTTCTTCTTTTTTATAAATACTTGAATGGTAATTGTTCTGATGAACTTTCCACTATGTCACCTAGACTTTATGAAGTTTAAGTGATAGACAAACAAGGCCTCATCAATTTACAATTGAAATGGCTGGATGCAACCGTAAGTTCTATGGTAACAGTTTCTTCTTTCGCACTTCTTACTTGTGGAACTCTCTTCTGGTTTCTTGCTTCCCAGTCAAAAGTTTTTCAAAAATTTAAATGCAATGTCCATCATTATCTTCTGTCTTCTTAATTCTTCTTCTTTTATTGTCCTCTCGCCTTAATATTTTCTAATACTCAGTAGCTCCCTGTGTCTTAGTGGCTTTATTGCCTTGTTGAAATGATTAAAAACAAATGTAAGAAAAAACCCTCATCACAATAAAATCCTAATTCATCTGACTTAAGCACCAAGCCAACAAATTGATATCTGCCAATTCTTTCAATTTTCTCACTCTCCAGCAGTATTATCTATTATCTGGGCTTTACTGACAAGAAAGTAATGTATGTCCGACTCTCTCTTCAAATATGGCTTGCATGTTTAGATTCTTTTTATCCCTTCTTCAGGCACAGCTTTTTTCTTACAGTTTGATGCATGTGTTGATAATGTCTTGGAATGAGAAATTTAAGATACAAGTTCAAATTTCAGTTGAATTTATTACATTACATTTACATGCAAATACCTTTGAGAAAGGTATAAATCCATCCTCCATAGTATCAGTTAAATAGAACGCCTTGTATTTGGAAAAAAATTATGGTTATTCTCAAAATAAATTATTAATGCAATATTCACTCACAAAAAAATTATTTATATATTTCAGCTTTAAATAACACACAAAGGATTGATACGCCATAAAAATCAAATCAATCAATCTTACATTTTGCCTTTAAGGGTACTGAATTACTTTCATGGGATATAGTAAATACAAACTTTATTCTTAAAATATAAAAGGCAAAATATTTGTTGATTTAATGGCATTTAAAACACTTTTTTACAGTATGTAAGGCCGATTTTTATGGCATTTATAATCCACTCTTTTCATGCTATATAAGACCAACTCTTTTTATGGCATATAAGACCAACTCTTTTTATGGCATTTAAGATCCTCTTTTTTGATGGTATTTATGACCTACTTCATTGATGGCTTCTCCTCTTCAATGGCATCACTTTTTTTTGGCTTTTAGGATCCACATTTTTTATGGTATTTAAAACCCACTTTTTGTAAGGGATCCAAGAAGCTCTTGCTAGATGGTATTTAGGACTCACTGTTTTGATGGTAATTAAGACCAACTTTTTCTGACATTTAAGTGGTTCATCCATTATTTGTTGATGCCCTCAAAAAAGGCATGAATCCATCCTTCTTTGATGGTTTAAATAGCACAATAGACTGTACTTACTAGTCTTGAGTGTTAGCCATTTTAAGAGGACAAGTAATTTCATGATCCTATCAAAAATGCCAAATAAATTCATGATCTTAGCAAAGATGCTATATAAATTAATAATCTTATCAAAAATTCTATATAAATTCTTTATCTTAGCAAAGATGCCGTATAAATTAATGAACTTATCAAAAATGCTGTATAAATTCATGATCTTAGCAAAAATGCTGTATAATTTCATAATTTTATAAAAATGCTGTATAAATTCATGATCTTAGTAAAGACGCCATATAAATTCATGTCTTATCAAAAATGCTGTATAAATTCATGATCTTAGCAAAGATGCTGTATAAATTCTTGATCTTATCAAATTACTAAGGAAGATAGCAGGTGCTAAGTGTATATATAATGAAAGGAAATATATTTACACATTACATTTGAAATCTGCTACTAAATGTTATTCAGTATATTTTATCCTTTTCTTTTTTTTATCCAGGGACAACATTTTATTTGTCTTGGAGAGCATGTCCACTTCAAAGTAAGTAACCTAATTTCTATTTTATTGCTTTTTTCACTGACAGATTCTTTCATTTTGGTTTGTTGGATTTGCATCTTCTTCATCTCATCTTGAGAACTGTTTCAACCGACCAATTTAACATGGCAGATGCTTATATTAATTGACTAAAGATATGCATCAGAAATAATTTTGTCTTTGAAGTGCATTACAAATGATTTCACTATTAATTACATTACAAGGAATTTAAATATAAAAATCCATGAGAATTGGTCTTTAATTTTGTTATAAAAATGCAATGCCAATGATTTTTATTTGACAGAATTATACTGCCAAAATGCTAAGAATATTTACTGCAGAAATATATTACCAATATTTTTTCTTCTCTGAATGTTTTAAGTTGAACAGTTGTCATTATTATAAGATTTCATATTCAGCCTGTCATCCCTGTCTTTGTGGTCATTCTGAAAATGTTTCCAGTTTTGTGGGTGATATATTGGCCTGCAAACAGATACTGGATGACGGAAGACAACAACAAGCAAAATGAAGACTTAAGTAAAAAACATATATTGCCAAGTTTATTTTCATTAAAGAAATAATACAACAAAAATAATGTTACAGTGCACAAGGCAAAAAATATTCATGTAAAGGGTGACAGAACGTTGTCTTGAGAAGGACAGTGTTGGTAGTCTGTTGGGGCGCACCCACCTTCTAACTAGTAATGGACTGGTCCCTCTTATATAAGTGAGCTCTGGGGAGAGAGTCAGTGTTAGCAGCCCAGATACTTTCTGAGCGACTGCTCAGTTCAACTCTCTTTCTACGGGCGAGAGGAACCCGAAGGAGGCTTAAACCGGCCCTGAACCCGTTTATACGGGTTCAAATGGGTTATTTTTTTGGCCGATCCTAATGGCTCGGGAATGCCCACATTAAAAGGCCTTGTGCCGCATGACGCCTTCGTGGGGGTGGCTAAATATCTTAGCAGCCCAGATACTTTCTGAGCAAATGTTTTTTTTCAACTCTCTTCCCACGGGCGAATTTTTTGTGAAGGAGGCTACGCCGATGGCGGAGTCTCCTTCGGGAGGTTAAATCGTTTGTCAACCCGTTTATACGGGTTCAAATGGTTATTTTTTGGCCGAGCCTAATGGCTCGGGAATGCCCACATTAAAAATTCCTTGTGCCGCATGACGCCCTTCGTGGGGGGTGGCTAAATATCTTAGCAGTCCAGATACTTTCTGAGCGACTGATGTTCAACTCTCTTCTCTGGACAAAGAGAACCCGAAGGAGGCTACCCGAAACGAAGTCTCCTTCGGGAGGTAAAACCGGCCCTGAACCCATTTCCGTTACGGGTTCAAATGGGCTATTTTTGGCCGAGCCATTAATGCCCACATTAAAAAGCCTTTGTGCCGCATGACGCCCTCGTGGGGGTGGCCAAATATCTTAGCAGTCCAGATATGTTCCGAGCGACTGATCGGTTCAACTCTCTTCCCCTTTGGGAGGGAGGAACCCGTATTTTTATTACACCAAAGGGCGGTCTCCTTCGGGAGGTAAAATATACCCTGAACCCGCTTATACGGGTTCAAATGGGCTATTTTTGGACAAGCCTTAAATGGCTCGGGAATGCCCACATTAAAAGGCTCTTTTTGTTTGACGCCCTCGTGGTGGGGGGGCGGCTAAATATCTTAGCAGTCCAGATAAGCTTACCGGTACATACCGTTAGACTATAGACTTTGGATATTGTTTCGTACTAACCAACCTTCGTTCTACTAATCACTCTATTGTTAATTGCTTTTATGAATATACCAGTATTTTCCTCTACAACTGTGTTTGTCTTGATTCATACACCGACACGCGGGAAACTCACAACATCTCATCCTCATTTGAAAGTAATATCCAGATAAGGACAGATTATTGCATATCATTACTGCTGGTAAGGATGGCTGGAGTGACAGGCAATAGCAAGCTGGAAATGATGATGATGATGATGGCTGGATGGAGCCACTGACAGCTACTGGAACAGATACTACACTTTGATCCACGCCATATTGTTTAATTTTGGTATCTCCAATTTGCATGTTGAGCTAATCCTTCTGCTAACAACTATGCATTTTATCTTCTTGCAATTGATGTTTAGTCCTTTCTTCTTGCTTTCCTTTACTATTTTCTGTAGAAGTTGTTACAGTTTCCTTTCTATAGTGCATGCTATTGATACCTCTGGTATCACAGAATGTATCTTTTTTGCTGATAAATGCTGAACTCTATTCAGATTTATTTCTCTTTTTGACAGGACAAAGTTAAACAAACTGAGCTCAGGCTCGGATATGAAAAAGATACAAATGTCTATATGGGACATCCCTTGTAAGGAAAGAAAATGTAATTCCACATATGGTTCCCTTGCTTTTGGGGAGACATTTGTTCTTTCTTCCATCAAAACAGAAGATGCAAATGGTAAATTTTATTTGAAGACTTTCTACCTAATTATATTCAGAATTATTAAATCTTTGAAGAATTTAACAAAAAAAAAAAACATCATTTTTTTTCATTTAAATTATTTACAATATTCAGATTGTTGTCCTCATCTTTGTTGCCATATTCACGATGTTTCAACCGTTTTACACTCCAGTTTTCTTCAAACAGTCCAAACAATGTAAATAGTGTAAATAAATACAATACCTCATCTCAGAAATATAGACAGATCCTGAAGAAAGCCAGAGTGTACAATGGCCGAAACATCATGAATATAGCAATAAAGATGAGGACAACGGTCCGAACAATGTAAATAGTGTAAATAGTTACAATACATCATCTCAGAAATATAGACTGATCCTGAAGAAGATTGGAGTGTACAACGGCTGAAACATTGTGAATATAGCAATAAAGATGAAGACAACAGTCCAAACAATGTAAATTGTGTAAATAATTACAATACCTGAACTCAGAAATATAAACAGATATCATTTTCTTCATTTAATGTAGGAAAAGTTTACAAGGTGTGTTCGAAAAGTATCCGACTTTATTTTTCCCTGCAAAAAACTAATGCTGTGTGGGCAAAATCCTTTGAGTGGAATGTGATGCCATCCTTCCTGTGCATGTGTGAAAATCTTTGTACTGGTAGGCTGCATTAGTTCCTGGTTGTTAAGCCAAGAGTACAGGCATGTAGTGCACACTCGTTGGATTTTTGTTTTCATGCAAGATGACCGAAGACATCACACAGAGGTATTGCACCAAGCTTTCCTGGTCAAGAACAATTCACCATATGTTCAACAGGCTTCCTACTCTCCCATCTAGGCACTATGTGACTTCTGGCTCTTCCCCAATCTGAAAACCACGCAATTACCATGCAGAATTGCTTTTGTTGCTCCACCATCATAAACACTCTCCATATGCACAAATTCTCCATGATAATGGAAAGCACTGATTCTGTGCTTATTTCCTCTTCAGCTTGGGGATGACCTGCCTGAGCATGTCTCACTCTCTACTGAAGTGTGACCATTTTTGAAGCAGTTGTATCACGTTTTCATCTGAGTTTTGGCATCATCTCCAAATGACTCCTGAATCTTTTGGATGGTTTGAGCTTGAGTATCACCTTTTGGCAAAACTTGATGCAAGATCTCTGCTGGATGCGTTTGGTCATCTTGTGGGAAAATGAAAATCCAACAGCCACGCACTACATGTCTGTACTCTAGGCATAATGTTGGTCAGCCAAGAAAGGACCAGTGTACTTACCTTGTGTTATTGAAATGCTTACTAAACAAAAAGCTTGTTATTTTCTATATAAACACTTTATAGTTACAATGGTCATGTGACAGGGTTATCACGTGATTCCCAAAGTTGCATAAAAGAAGATGAAACCTATCTCTTTTTTATTATTAAATTTACCTTCCATGTTATCAAATGGTTATATGACTCAGAAAATTGGCAATATATTTTACAATTCAAGGTAAATGCTATTGCTTTTTTTATCCTCGACCTGACCAATCGTTGTTCGTTTTGGGGATCAGGAGCATTTTCTCAACAATAGCAGCCGGGAATTGGCATGGCCTACTGATGCAGAAATTTATGTGCAAGAAGAGTGCATCACTTCTCACCCAAAGGATTTTGCCCATGTGATGGGTAAAAATAAAGTTAAATACTTTTTTAAAGCATGTTACATAAGTTAACAAAAGAGCTAAATAGAGCAACTGTTTACATTTTTTAATGCACTTGATTTTGTGGCTTTGAATTTTATTATTTAGAATATTTTTTTTTCAAACTTGGAATTTCATGCCCACAAAAGAATGAAGAGTTAAAAGGATGGATTTTCTCTTGGCGCTGTTATGATTTTAACTACCTTCACTCCTCAGCAATGTTTGCTTTGAAAAGTGGTAATTTTAATAAAAGATCAAAGTTGGCTGGAAAGCAAGAAGCTGGAAGAGAGTTCCACAAGCGAGAAGTGTGAGAGAAGAAACTTATAGCATAGAACTTACAGTTACATCTAACCATTTCAACTCTAAAATGATGAGACCTTGGTGTCAATCTAGTACTGCACTTAAATTCATAAAGTCTATGTACCACAGAGGAAAGTCCATCAGAACAATTACCATGAAAGTATTTATAGAAAAGGTACAGGAAAGTTACATAAAAAATCCATATAAATATATATTTAGGAATTTTTATGAAATTTTAGGAAATTGGTGTCCATATCCAAAATTACACTTTTTTTTTGACAAGATCAAGAATAAATAGGGAATATTTATCAATCTAACATATTTCACTTATATTAAAAGCCTTAATGAAACTGTAAAATATTAGATGGATAAATGTTTCATATTTATTTTAAACATCTAAGGCCTCATCATTTTACATTTGAAAGTGCTAGATGTAACTGTAAGTTCTATGCTAATAGTTTCTTCTATTGCTTTTCTTGCTTGTGGAACTCTCTTCCAGCTTCTTGCTTCTCAGCCAACTTTGTTCTTCAAAAATTTAAATGCAATGTCAATCTTTATCTGCTGTCTTCTTAATTATTGTTTTTTTTTATTCTCCTTTTTCTTGAATAGTATATTTTTCTCATATTCTCTAACACTCATTAACCTTTTGCAATCTTAGTGACTTTATTGCCTTGCTTTGGGTGAATTGATTAAAAAGAAATAAATATCAACATATTATCCAAGAATTACTTCTTGTCTTCCAGATGGTAATAATTGCAGAAACAATGAAGTTTTGGTTATAACTTCGAATATTCCTCGGTATCACTGTTGGAGAGTGAGTATCTGAACATGACTGGCAGCTTATATATATATATATATATATATTGATTCACATATGTGTGTATGTGTGTGTGTGTGTGTGTGTGTGTGTGTGTATTAGAGTGTGCAGCTTATATTTTATATCATAAAGAAGCAATTTATACAAAGAATTAAACAGCAATGTTAATGCAATTAATGGCAGAATCACTTCACTAATAAATAGCATAATTAAATAAAGCATCTTTCAGTCTACACATATCTTGTCTTAGTGTTTGCCTGTGTATTGGAAAATTCCGCCCTGAAGATGACAATTTGAAATTGTCAAAAGCACTTGCCATGTGTCTTCCTTCTGACAACAACTCAAATATAAGGATCTTATTATTCAAGAAATTGATAGTAAGTTAATGTCTCATTAAGTCCTGTTAGCAAAATGATTTCAGCATTAATCACATTAACATTGCTATTTAATTCTTTGTAAAAATTCCTTCTTTATTTATATATATATATATATATATATATATATATACAAGGTTGGTGTAGATGGAATAAACTTCCAGTAACCAAAAACACTATTTTTTAAAAGTGCTCAATACAGAGTAGAGCGAATAATATTTATTTAAAAAATAACATAAGTATGTTATAACATCACTACAAAAATACCCATTTTGTTTCAACACTTCTGGTGTTTTGTCAAGTGATGGTATTGCAAGTAAAATAAATGTTTTTAAAGAATTCAAAAATCATCCATACCCCCACTGTGGTAAATATTTCCTACGTAAGATATAATGGCCAATCAAATTACAAGTATATAATGGATATATGTATGTATGCTTGTTTTTAATATACATCTTAAAAAATACATAATACCAATTTAAGAGTATATTGTACTTTGAACCCCTGCCAAGTGCAGTTGTAAATTTAATTAAAATTAGGTGAGGGTTCCTTGAGCTAGGGGCATTTTTCTGTTTTTACAGCATTTTTAATAGGGAATTCAGTATTTGTTTTCAAAACACCTTCTTATATCAGTCTGTGTATATCAGTGGATCTCAACCTTTTTTTTACCCATGGACCCCTTTCCCCTTCTTTTTATCTTGGTGGACCCCTTCATAGCTATTGGACATAAGAACAATTTTCTATTCTTCACTAATATAAATTTTAAGGTTTTAATTATCAAAAAGAAATAATATACGATTAAATTTTTTTTTTTTAAATGAAAACTAATTTAATACAAATAAAATATTCTACTATAATTATAATAATAATTATTATTACTATTTTTAATTAACACAACAATTGAGTTTTGCCTGTGGACCCCCGGAAATATTACATGGACCCCTAGGGTCCATGTAGACCCCGGTTGAGAACCACTGGTGTATATAAACAAATATCTACATTCCAACTATTGTGTGTGAAAAATAAACATCGATAATACATTTATACAATTCACTAAACTACATTAGAAAATTTTTTATAAACAACTACTGTAAAAGCTGAAGAGGCTACATGGTGTCACATGACTTGATAGTAAATAATTAGATGCATGATGATTTGCTTCCATTATGTACTTTTTACGGAGTGCGATGTATAAATTGTCGTCTAAATGATACAAAAATGAAAATAACACCAACATCTCATTTTAACAGATATATTTACCAAAATTACACAAAGATATCTTCAAATACTAAAGAGTAAATTAATAAATTTACTCTTGGTTTTCATAATATCTTTGTGTAATTTTGGTAAATATTTGTGTAACTTTGGTAAATATTTGTGTAACTTTGGTAAATATTTGTGTAATTTTGGTAAATATTTGTGTAACTTTGATAAATAAAATTGCCATTGGCTTCAACCATGGCCTCCAAACAACTTTGGAATCTCTTGCAACTCTTCTGGACAGTCTCCTTGTTTAAGTTGGTGAATGCTGCCATAATTCTTGCCTTCAATTCATCTTTGGTGTTAAAGGGCTTTTGTTGGTCTTTCACTCAACTGTGCTCCACACATAATAATTAAGGGCGTTGCAGTCTGGGGACATAGGTGTCCAGATGTAAGGAGTGATGTGATTGCATTAATTGACGGAAAACCATAATTAGGTTTTCCTGCTTGTTTAGCATGGTGCAAAGTCCTGTTGCCAGGCATAGGTTCTTCCAGCAGCCACCCTCTTGACCCAGGGCAGCACTACCTCCTCAAATCACTTGATGTAGGCCACTGTGTTAAGTCTGAGATCCTGTGAGTAGATCAATGGAGGTATAGCATCACTATCACTAGTGATCACTCCCAACACATCAGAATGATCCGACTGAGTTTTCCAATCAGCCATGCATTTGTAGTAACAAATCTTTCCAAATCTTCTGCACTGGGCTCAGATTGACATCCAAACACTCTGAAATGTAATTTATATATATATATATATATATATATATATATATATATATATATATATTAGTCTGGATTTACATTGAGCTCTCTGGATTTTATTCTCCTTGGGTTTACCCATATGGATTACCTAGTTTTCATAGACTATATATATATATATATATATAACCATTTTGGGTTAACATTCATACCTTTGTAATAACCATTAAGAGTCATCAACTTTTTCCAAATCCTCTACACTGTAGTCAGAATACTGATATCCAAACACTCTGAAATGTAATATATATATATATATATATATATATATATATATATATATATATATATATATATATTCACTTACGTGCTAATACCCTTTTCTGAAAGGTATGAATCCTTTCCTCTCCCTCCAGCTATGGGTAAAATAGCAGAACAGACTGGGTTCTTATAGCCTTGGATGGCAACTGGTCTAGGAGAAGGACAACTCTGAATTCAAAACCTGCGGAGGGTCATTTGGGAACCTTGTGGCATTCGGTGCACCAGGTCTCTGTATTCGTCCTTTCAAAAAGTGTGGATGGTCCTGCACGAGGCCTTCACCACTATAATCAAATCTCATGTGCCGATATTGGGCTGTCGGTTTCCTGGAAACTGATCTGCTTGACCCTCATACGTCAAATCTCGACAGGAGAGTCGATTATTATTATATATATATATATATATATATATATATATATATATATATAGAAAAAGTTTCAAATTGAAAATTATAATGTTTTATTTTATATATTTTATATATTTTATATTCTTTTTGGTATATATATATATATATATATATATATATATATAACCATTTTTAAAGCAGCTGTAAAACCTTTGTAATAACAATTAAGTCATTCCAACTCTTTCCAAATCCTCTGCACTGGGCTCAGATTGACATCCAAGCACTCTGAAATGTTTGTATTGGAGCTTCTGGTGAGAATGCCAAGCAGTACAGCATGTTGTTTCCACATTTTTTTGGCATGAATTGCATCATGGTGCTCTTTTTCTCACAAATTGTGCCCAACTGACCTTACTATACTGTGCAGCTGGCAAAAACAAACAACGTGCATGCACAAGATTAAAAACATAAAATGGCGACAATTTATCCATCGCACACTGCATAATAAAAGAAATACCTGAAATAAACCAAACCTGTTTTAACCTATTACCCCAAATTTTTACATATGTTCATTTCTTTTACCATCTTTAAATGCAAATTAAAATGTGTAACTATTCATAAAATTGATAATATTATTTATTACCTTATCATTTTGCATCATGAATTTTCAAATAGTCCAAATAATATAAATAGTGTACATAGTACCTCATCTAAGAAACATAGACAGATATTGAATTTGATTGTTTTCTTTTTTATGACTTATCAAACTTTTGGGGGTTATTTAGAGCCAAAAAATGTTTAGATTTTAAGAATTTTGGGGGGACAATGATTTACTGATACAATTTCTACTAATTAACCCATAGCTGGGGGGAAAGAAGTAGATTCATAGCTTTACTAAGGGTATTTGCATGTAAGAGAATATAATCAACCTGACTAGAATTGGAATTATGCTCTCCAAATTCCAATTCCAAGCTGTTATCTATTGTCCCACTTACACATCCAAGTTTACAGCACCAGGTATACCCAGGCAGTTACCAATTTAGGTACTGATTAAGCTCAACATGAAATGGCTGTAAATCTATAGCAATTGAAACATTGTGATGAAGACAGCAAAGGCGTATAAATTTATTCTGAAAAATTAATGAATAATCATAAAAAATAATTCAAAAACTTACTAGTCTACTAATTACAAATTCTTGCAGACTATTCCAGTTGGTGACAATATTGAGGAGACATGCAAGACCCTGATGCTGACAGATGACTTTGGTAAATTACTTTTCGATTCCAGTACAGTGGACATCATTGTTCGCAACAAACAATGCAATTTTTCAAGTACAGGTAAGTCGTTGTTTTTATTATTGGTAATATTATTAGCACTTAAGAGTGTGATTTATGAAAAATTAAAAAAACAGCTGTACTGGTAATGACTACATGAAAATGAATGAAATGCCACCAGCGCAAAGGCACGAAACCAAAATTTGCTTAATATGGTGGTGACCTTTCTCATCTTGAAATTTTCTGTTAGTTGACTAAGAGAAATTAATCAAACAGCTTATAATAAATCTTATGGATTTATATATTTTTATACTCGAAAAATTTTTTAAATATGAAGACAGACAAGATGTCGAAATATTGTTTAACACTAACATTGTTTTCTCTTCTTTTCTAAAATCTCACTCCTTCTCTTAAGTGCTGAAAAATATTTAGAGAGTTACATTAATTTTACTTCATATTATTATTATTATATCCCTTCATGTAGTACCTGTCTATATTTCTGAGATGAGGTATTATATACACTATTTATATTATTCAGACTATTGTCCTCATCTTTGTCTCCATATTTACCACAACATTCCGGCCCTTCAGTATCTATCTATATTTCTGAGATGAGGTATTATGTACACTATTTATATTATTTGGACTATTGTCCTCATCTTTGTCGCCATATTTATCACAACATTCCGGCCCTTCAGTATCTATCTATATTTCTGAGATGAGGTATTATGTACACTATTTACATTATTTGGACTATTGTCCTCATCTTTGTCGCCATATTTATTACAAAGTTTTGGCCATCCAGTATCTGTCTATATTTCTGAGATGAGGTATTATGTACACTATTTACATTATTTGGACTATTGTTCTCATCTTTGCGCCATATTTATTACAAAGTTTTGGCCATCCAGTATCTGTCTATATTTCTGAGATGAGGTATTATGTAGACTATTTACATTATTTGGACTATTGTCCTCATCTTTGTCGCCATATTTATTACAATGATTAGGCCGTTGTACGCTCCAGCCTTCTTCAAATGGTTGGAATGACATGCAATAAATATGGCAACAAAAATGAGGACAATAGTCCAAATAATGTAAATAATCTTCATGTAGTAAAACATTGAACCAGGGTTACTACACTGTTATAAAGGGTGTTCCAATAACTTGGACTTATTTTAAATGTAAATTAAGTTTAAATGTCTAATGATTTTTTTTTCATTCACTTTTAACAACTTAAGTCTTTGGCAATTTCAACCATGGAAAGATTAACAATTAAACCACGAGTCAAAGTTTCAAGAGTGCAACTGAAAAAATTGTTCGTAAATTTAAACAAACTGGGTCAGTGGCAGATGTGAAAACACCATTGCGTGCTTGTTTATGCCGATCAGCTGAAAACATTGCAGCAGTGCATGAGAATGTGGCCAAAAATCCAGACACCTCTATTCGTCATTGTGCACAGGAATTTAACCTTTCCACAACAATGTTACATCATTTCTAATTGCACTCCTTGTTGGTCGATTATGTTGACCCCAAAAAAATCACAAAATGCATGAAATACATTTCTGCTTGAACGGCCATTTTCATAATAAGCTTCAATAACTTTAACACGTTGCTTGATTGTTAATCTTTCCATGGTTGAAATTGCCAAAGACTTAAGTTGTTAAATCTGAAAGAAAAAGAAAAAAATTCATTAGATGCTTAAACTTAATTCACATTTGAAATCAGTCCAAGTAATTGGAAAATCCTTTATATCTCATGTAATAAGATATTGAACAAGGGTTACCACACTTTTTTATATCTCTTCAGGCAGTAAAGCACTGAACCAAGATTACCACACTTTTTATAACCCTTCATACTGTAAAGCACTGAAACAGGATTACCACACTTTTTATAACCCGTCATACTGTAAAGCACTGAATCAGGGTTACAATTTTTTATATACCTTCAAGTAGTAAAGCACTGAACAAGTGTTACCACACTTTTCTATATCCCTTCAGGCTGTAAATGATTGAACCGGGGTTACCACATTTTTTATATTCCTTCAAGCAGTAAAGCACTGTACGAGTGTTACCACATTTTTTTTATTTACCTTCATGCTGTAAAACACTAAACCAGAGTTACCACATTATTATATATCTTTTGCAGTAAAATGTTGAAGTCATGTTATGGCTCTTTTATATACTTTCATGTAGTGAACGTTGAACTGTTATATTGCAACCACTGATCTTGTTTTGTGAAATCAAAAATGTTAACTGTCTGCTTTACTTGTATTTCTTGCAGGACACCTGTATGTCTTTGAGAAAGGAATCATTATTCTTCGTTCACTGCAGGATCCAATCTGCTTGCCAAATTCCAGAACCATTTCCTTGGAGACCTATTACAAGGTGGGCGCATAAGTCTGATATTGTTTAAATTGGGAAGGTTTCCTTTCTCTTTTAAGTTGTTTTATATTCATTTGTAAGATTTAATAAAAAAAATACTTGATTCATTTTTATTGAAACCAATTTTGAATATTATCAAAAACCTTTTCTGAATTTGCTAAAACAATTACAAGTATCATTTTTTTTTCTAATTAATTTCATGATCCCATTTGACATTTTCCTCAAAAGTAAGTTTTATATACAGCGAAACCTTTGTTCCCAAATGCCCCTTATCTGAAACAAATGAATATATGCCAGGTTTTGCTCAAGATAGACCCAATATATATATATATATATATATATAAATATAAAAGTGAACATTGAAGTCAACACTTAGAGGCAACAGGCTGTTTCATGCTTGACCCAATCATCAGGCCACAAGTGTTGTTTTTTTCCTTGGCTATTTATATATATGGGTCAATGGTGCATTGTGGGTAGTCTATTTTGGCTGTTATTTTGCCAGAAGTCATTTATTTGTTTATTTATTTATTTGGGTTAGATTATTTTGCTTGTTTTTATTTTTTATTTTTATTTTTATTTTTATTTCTTATCTTATATATTTATTTATTTATTTTTATTTTAATTAGTGTTTTATTAACGTAGTAAAAATTTGTTCGTATCGCTTATTTAATAATTTTGTTTTCATTTGGGAAGATAATTAAAGTTATTTATTCAATTTTGGAGTTGATTGCTGTAGTTTATTGTAACTATTATTTTGGTGGGAGCAGGTTTAATTTGTTTATTAATTAATTTATTTTTTGATTGATTATCTTTACTGTTTTTTTTTAAAAAATTTATCGGGTTCGGTTTGTTACTTTGTTTATTCATTTATTTATTTGGACATATATATATATATATATATATATATATATATATATATATATATATATATATATATATATATATATATATTTATATATATATATATATATATATATATATATATATATATATATATATATATATATATATATATATATATATATATATATATATATATATGTATATATATATATATATATATATATATATATATATATATATATATATATATATATATATATATATATATATATATATATATATATATATATATATATATATATATATATATATATATATATATATATATATGTATATATATATATATATATATATATATATATATATATATATATATATATATATATATATATATATATATATATATATATATATATATATATATATATATATATATATATATATATATATATATATATATATAAGATAAAAGAAAAGAAAAATAAGGAAAAAAGAGGAGATAGTTGCAGGGTTTGTTTTGTTTTTACACAGATCAACCAATCAAAATGACCGATGCTAAGTTCAAAATAAGGGGAAGAAATGAGACTTAAGAAGCAATCATAAATAAGATGTCATGACCAGCAAATGTGTTAATATGCATCGAAACATGATTTACTTTTGCTTTACCCGTGTTGGAGGTTTTTTTCTTTGGACTCTGAGCTTGGATTCTGGACGATTGTTTTTGTCTGAATTACATGTTCTTAGTTCTTTCTTTTTTTCCTCCTTATTTTTTCTTGGGTATTGGTTTGTTCAATTACAAGCCAAAACACTGAAGGTTTTTCCAGACAAGTATACTTACTTAGATCTATAAGATTATTATTATTATATATATATATATATATATGGGATAGGATCTGAATATATATATAATTAATCTGATTCATGACCCAATTATTCATTAAACGTTACTCAACCACCACAAGAAGTAATTCATCCCCATTCATCTGACATACACCACAATACCAAATACTCAAGGTGGGGGGGAGTCATACTAAAAACATCCATGACACAAAAATTTTTCCAATACATGTATACCTCACCATACGTCACTAATTGGTTCCAGAGGTCAACATTTTGAAGCGGAAAACAATGCACGGGTGACACCTGTCAGCAAGAATATGAAATAAAAACATCCACTAAATATACTTTATTATGCTAATTTTTTTGTTCTTGATGATCTTATGATATATATATATATATATATATATATACATATATGTATACATAATATTATTTTTAAATTTATTTAAATATGATTTTATATCTGTTTATTGTTATTTCAGTGTTTTGACGTTTCTAATATTTTTAACAGCTGACATAAACTCTAGTAAAATGACCTAAGTTTTATTTTTCCATATAATATTAAGAAAACTGACGTATCTTTGAAAATAACTTAACCCAAGGTCTCACTGTATATACAAATGTCTTTTTTTGTTACTTTTTTTCTTTGCCTTGAAGCCTTTCTATATCCTGAATCAGTCTTACAATGACGCTGGTTAAGCTTTTACTTCTGGTTAATTTAATAAAATGTGGGAGTGCCGACAGGATATGTGATAAGTGACCCAGGTTTGAGGAACAAAAACAAAATGTTAGTATTATTAGTGACTTGAGATAAAATCTAAAGAATTGTGCAATATTATTGGTCCTCACCTGGCATCTTGGCTTCAGACACTTTCCCTCCACTCTCACGTATCTTCATTCCTTTTTAGTTGGTGTTTTGTTTTATCAAGGTATTGGACTCATGTTGATTTTGAAGCATGGAACCATTTTACTTGCAGGATGCTTTTAGCTCTTTGGCGCTACTTTTTCATGGTAAATGTATAACCACAGACCAAGCCAATGTCTTACCCACCAATTTTGCTAACTCAGCTGGAAATTTGGTTATTGTCTTCAAACCAGAGACAAAAGCCCGAAGAGTTTTCTTTTCACAGGTATGAGAAATATTGAAAATATTTCAAATCTTAGAATTAGGGTGATATTATTTATGGTGGAATCTTTGAGGTGAGGAATTATTATTCTATGCTTTCAGACCAATATCCTCATCTTGGTTGTTATACAAACAATGATTTAGCCATTTCATCACCTCCCCAGCCTTTTCCAGGTGTTTGTCTTTGTACCTGATAAACTTTAGGGAATTTTCAACCAAGCCGTTTATTCAATCAAGAAATAACAAATCAAATAATAATAGTAATTCTTCACCTCAAAGATTCTGACAAATGCCGAGAGTTTTACAACCAAGATGAGAATTTTAGTTTGAATAGTAAAGGTAGTTTAATAATTCCCTCATCTTGAGATTCAGACAAATTTTGAGAATAAAACAACCAAGATAAGGATTCTGGCACAAATAGAAAAGAATTTTATAAAGATTAACTAGTCTTAAGTAAAACGTTTTTTAGACAATTTTTCTGCAAATCCCTCAAGAATTGTCAAAAATTGTAAAAGTGTTTTTTTTCAAAAAAATCTATTCAATTTTGTATTTGTCCAATACTCATAGAATCCCCATAAGGTTTATAGTGCAGTTATGCAGATTGGACCTTAATTACAATTTCTGGAAAATGCATTGAAATGATTTTTACTATGAAAATGCATTGGTCAATGATTTTTACTATGAAAATGCATTGGACAATAATTTTTACTATGAAAATGCCTTGGCCAATGATTTTTACTATGTAATGCATTGAAAATGATTTTTACTATGAAAATGATCAGCCAATGATTTTTACTATGAAAATGCAATGGTCAATGATTTTTGCTATGAAAATGCATTGGAAATGATTTTTACTATGAAAATGCATTGGAAATGATTTTTACTATAAAAATGCATTGGAAATGATTTTTACTATGAAAATGCATTGGCCAATGAAATTTACTATGAAAATGCATTGGCCAATGATTTTTACTATGAAAATGCATTGGCCAATGATTTTTACTATGAAAATGCATTGGTCAATGATTTTTACTATGAAAATGCATTGGAAATGATTTTTACTATGAAAATGCATTGGTCAATGATTTTTACTATGAAAATGATCAGCCAATGATTTTCACTATGAAAATGCATTGGCCGATGAAATTTACTATGAAAATGTATTGGCCGATGATTTTTACTATGAAATGCATTGGAAAATGCATTGAAATGATTTTTACTATGAAAATGCATTGGACAATGATTGTAGGTCATGAAAATGAATTGGCTAATGATTTTCCTATGAAATTCATGAAATTCATTTTAAGATTTAGTATAAAATTCCTTTTTTGTTACTGTTGTGATTAAAATGTCCTGCTTTAAAATAATTTCTTCTTTTTATTTCCAAATATCTTAGAAAAAATGTAATTTTTGTTTACCTATTTCTTTATAACATTTCTTTCTTTTACAAGTAAATGTTTTTTTTTTAAGTTACTCCACTATTGGAGAAAATCTGGGCAAGTCACCCATGTGGATGAAGTGGAACCAGAACTTCAGGAAATGTAAGTGATTCTGACTTATTTGAATATTTTGACTTGTTTTAGTACAATATTACGAGGTACTCTATTTTATTTTCACTTCTTTTTTTTAAAGAACACACAAGCACAGGAATTGGTCCTCCTGTTTATTGAAAAAGAAGCATATGCCTTCCTCAGATGAATGTTTAACATTCAAAATATGGTGCAAAGTAAGATGCAAATTACTTGAAATGATTTTACTATAGAATTTAAAAGATATTATTTTATTTGAAAATGCATTGCAAATGAAATTGCTATGAAAATGAACTTGAAATAATTTTACTAGAAAAAAAGCATTGGACAACAATTTTTCATTGATAAAAAAATTCTGGTTGGTTTCCTAGTTCCCTTAGTATTATCTCATTGTATAAGTTTAAAAATTCCATTAAGAAAACACATCCTATTTCTATTTTTGTGTATTCACTGAAATGTATCAAGTTTGGAAAAGAAATCTAAATTTTTGAATTCCAAAATGTGTCTGTTCCTAATGGCCTTTGAGCTAAGAGAGTGTGTATCTTCATGCAGAGGTCGAGAATAATGTTGTCCCATTGTACCGAAGATGATAAAAATATTACTTTCGGACGACGGGTTAAGTTTTTTCTTATGATAACAGAATGATATAAAATTTTAAAGTAAAACTGTGTTTATTCTGAAAACAATCAGGTTGATTCTCATGAAATTTAAGTTGAGTGTTTAATATTGTCTAATTTCAACTTCATCTTGATGCCTTTTTAGTAGAGATTTGGTTTGAAAACAAATAGTTTTAGCTTTTTTTTTGTAATGTCAACGAACACTCATTTGACACTTTTGTGGTGCCAATGAATACTTGTTGTCATTTTCATAATGCTCATTGTAGTAGAGACTTTGTAATTGCAGATACAACTATAGTACGTCATTGAACAATGCTGGTGTCAGATGTCTTCAAATAGCATTCGCAATAATAGTACTTGTTTGAATAGTAATCCGTATTGATGCAAATAGAGAAATAGTATAGTGAATAAAGTAGAGAATAGTGATCCGTATAGTAATAGAGGATAGAGTAGAAATAACGATCCATACAATATAGAGGATAGAATAGAAATACGATTGTTAGCAGTCAGCTACTTCCTACATATATGTATTTCCTTTATGGTCATGTGACCCACTTAATTCAATAATGGGATCGCCTGTGTTTTCTCACTGGCGATCTGTGTTCAAACTCAAGTGTCAGCAGTGACACTTTATTCCTATATAACAATTTTAGTTACTTAGTTGATGACTATTCTTATAACAGATTTTTGGTGCTTGTTATTATAGCAGGTCCTGTGTCTATAGACACTTATATCGAGAGATCTTATATGAGACAAAGAATATCAGATCATGTATGAATCTTGATTTTGCGTTATTTTTCTCTACTTACAGCTATAACCATCTTTCAAACTGTGAGACTGATGCAAGCCGTCATTCTTCTACTAAAAGGATTTAAATACTAAAAATTTAAAATGCTGCTGCTCATTAAAGATATCTGCAAACATTTCATCATCATTTTTTTTTTTTTTGTGAGGCAAAATTGTTGAGACAAATGCCCTTGTCAAAAATAACAATGGCATTAATAAAAGAATGCTCATCTACCAAGAATTGCAGATCAATTTTCATCTTTTTTTTTTTTTTTTTTTTTTGGTGAGGCAGTGGGGTGTTGGAGGGGGGTGCCCTTTTCAAAACTGACAATGACATTAACAAATTTTTACAGTTGTAGTATATGACTGTTATGGAGTGATTTTACAGTGGAGGCTTGTATTTGTACTAAGTCGGTCCTAAAATAGGTTCGACGTACAAAACGTTAGGAACTTCATATAACGCAGAGAAATCTAGTTGTAGTCGCTGATACTTTAGTATCCAACTAACGGTCGTCCGGCATCGACTGACTGACTGACCCACTCAGCGACTTACTACTCCTCCTTATTATAGGTGGGAGAGTCTATTAACTATAGAATAGGTGTGTTTCACTATAACAATGACTCACCCCAGATCATATTAAAGTTTGAATAAAAAAAGTGTGATTCAGAGATACCAGGGTCTTTTGTTTTTTGATGTAGCAACCTATCCATGGGTAAATCCATTTGATATTGTCTGTGGGCGATTTTGACCTGTTGCCCCTAGATTTTTTAGCATTCAAATATTTTTAGAATATATTTTCACACAATAAAGGTCCAAGAGCCAAAAAATTTTCAAAAATTTTAAGAAATGGGATGAAACTTTCATATATGCTGGATTCATTACACATAAAGTGAAATAGTTCAAGCTTTTTTGTTTTAATTTTGATGATTATGGCTCACAGCTCATGAAAATCAAAAGAACCCTCTCTTAAAATATTAGAATATTTCATACGATCTATAAATGAATAAGGGATTTATAATAGAGAACTATCAAACTCATCGAAAGTATGTTCAAAATCAAGGCCCCAGAATAAGGAGAAAGAGTGTGGAGGCGCTGAATTCAAGTTGCTCGATGATCGTTTATGTTTTCAAGGGAAATTTGAGATCAAATCATAAAATCAACAAATAACGACATATTTAAAATATACAGGCATCCCTCAATTTATGCATTTTCAATTAGTACACTAAAATTTTGATATACCAAAATTCTATTCATGTATACATAATACTCGATAAGTAT